TGCTTAAACTGTGTTTTATTTTAATTTAATACCGGTCTACTCTTAACAAAAAAAAAAAAAAAAAAATTTTTTTTTAAATTATTATTGCTAACATGGATATGCTACACATATACATAAATTTATTTATTTTTAAGCTCAGCAATTTGGGACTCTTGAAGTGCAACACAGATTTAAACAAATAATTTTCAAGAATTTTGGGAATTAGCTACAGTGGAATTAACTAAAAGCTACAATTAAATAATTTTAAGGGATATATATATATCTATATTTGTGTTTGCTTATTAACAAATACCACACAGACACGAATACAAATACAAAATACAACGAAATTCTTGATAATATAAATGATTTTATTTAAATTTTACTCCTTTTTTGCTGTTTTATTTTTATTTATTTCTTAATTTCATTGAAATGTGTTTTTTTTTTTTACTCGAAATAGAAGTAAATTCAAATTTCAATACAATATAAACGTATAAACGAATTTATCATAATTAATATAGTTAGTTGGTAATTATATTTGGTTAGACAACGTTTCACAAAACACTTATAGCTTAAAGTTGATTTATATTTCCTTTCTCTTCTTCTTTATTTTTAATATAATGCACAACAACAAAGTATGTATTTTGATTTATTTGTAATATATTTGTGTTTATTTTGTTAGTTTCTAGTTATTGCCAAGTACTTGGACTAACACTTAAAGCATTTCAACTCATTTTTTGATTACACATTGCACATTCGTTTGATTATATGTATAAAATACCCTATAATTGTTGCTGGTTTTTTTTGCTATGCAGGTAACAAAGAACTTTCACTGGGCAGCTCCCCCTCCCATACTCCGAAAAGAAAAAAAAAGGAAATTGTCATTTGCTGCTAGTTTTAAACATTTAGAGCTACGTAAGCATAAGCTATGGCAAATCATGTATATCAAGTCACAAATATATATATGTATATATATATAAATACAGAGTATGTATAGTCTAGTATATAGTGTGGCATACAAAAACGCGGGTAAAAGCCTTGGACGGAAAATGTAAAGCATCGCTGATTTTCCACTCTCTTCTAGGATCAGGAACCAGCTGCAGTTGCACTTCAAGTACGAGTAACTAATGTGTGTGGGGCAAGTTCTCAACGGCACGCTAGTACAAAACATTTTACTCTACAACATCCAAACAAATTATTTTAGCTAGTCTTTTTTTGGCTGAGTCTTGTTTTTAGTTTTTTTCATCAATTATTTCTATTGCACCTAACTAGATTTAAGATCACTCAACTTACTTTTAGTATAAGATTAAAAAATGTATTAATACAAATATATATAGCTCTGACAACTACACATAGTTATGCTTAAGCAGATCTATGAAACATTTTTAAGCATTCAATACTTGAAATATTTAAAAAGATATTTGTATGACAAAAATTTGAAAATTAAAAAAATGCCGTTTAAAAAATATTTCTTGAAAATATTAAGCTTATTCTTGACAAAAAGGCGTGATCTAATATTTTTCTTGCATTGTAGTATTGAATGAATGCATTGATTGCAAAAAAAAAAAATATAATAATAAATATTACAGTATAATTTCTAAGAAAAATTACACTGAACAAAATATGTGAAAAAAAGAAAACAAAAAAGATATATATTTTTTTATAAAATAAAATTAATAGATATCTCTAATGTGTGTTTTTAAAATTTTAATTGACAGTATTTTAGAAATACTGCACAAATAAAATTCAAAAATGCTTCCTATATATTTACTAGTATTTTAAAAATACTTCTCAAATGAAAATGTTTACAGATCTGCTCAATGAATTCTATATATATTAATGAACTAGGCACACCGAAACTAGAGACACAGATAGCTCTGCCAGCCTCACTTAACTATATTTATTAAGTAGAATTCAAAAAATGTTTGTTTGTTTGTTCGTTTGTTGAGCAACAGCAAATTGAAATAAAAAGTAATCGAATTATTATAGAGCAGCCATAATAAAATACAACTGCTGAGCGGGCGAGCATTCAAAGCAAAGCGAGCAGCAGCAGTAGCAGCAGCAGCGCAGCGCAGCTGTTGTAGGTGGCAGCAATGAGTGCGTGTGAAGCTAAATGGGCGTGGTCGAGATGAGAAGGACATGCCACAACCGCAATTGAAGTACTACTCAGAGATGGTTGATCTTGCGCCACTGCTTCATCACAAAATTACCGCAACACCAGCTGCCCGATTGCCGTTTCGTTCCGTCCGCATTAAGTTCCATCTGCGTGGCACGCGCCTGGGTGGCGCCTCCGTTGCGCAGCAGCGCCGTGCAGCCATGCTCTCCCCGCTCCCCGTCACTCTCATCCGAACGCTCGCCACCCGCTGCCAGTTGGGGCGTGCTGCGTTGCAGCGTGCTGGTGCGCAATGCTCCGCCACAGTTCATCAAATATCCGCCCCCGAAGCCCGCATAGCGATGCGACGTGGAGGTCTCGAAGGAGCGATTCAGGCGTCGGTCGTAGAGACCGGGATGCACAGTGCCATCCGGATTTGGTTTCACAATGGTCGTATGACCGGAACCACGTTGATAGCTCTGCTGGGCCAGCAGCTTGGGCGACGGCTTGTTCTTGCGCGGCAGCAGCGGAGAGGTGCAAACGTTGTCGTAGCCCGAGCCGAAGCCGCTCTTCATCCGATTCAGGGATTTGCGTGTGGCACGCTCTTCCGACAGCGCACGCTGATAATCCTTAATGCCGGGCCCACCAGCTACCGCACCCGGTCCCGACAGTGAGTACCGTTGACCAGGTGTATTTAGGGAGGAGCCCACCGAACTCGAGTACAGATTGAAACTATTCGGACTTGCCTCACGCCAGATGAACGACGAGTTCAGACTGCCCGCCGAGTGTTGGCGGTTTTGTTGCAAATGCTGTTGCTGTTGTTGTTGTTGCTGTTGCTGTTGGTGGTGTTGTTGTTGATGCTGTTGTTGTTGCTGCTGTTGCTGTGGTGTTAGGTGCGGCGCATTTGCTACGAAAGGCAGCTGCGGATTGGAGGTCGAGAAGGTTTTGCTCGTTTTCAGTTTGCCGCCGCGTATGGGCAAACAGGGCGTCCACGGCTGCAAGGCTATATAGTTGAGGTATTTAGAGTTCGTTGGGCAGAGGCGCGTGAAAGACAAAGAGAGAAAATGAAGACATTTGAAGAACGAAAAAACGAGAAACAACAACCAACAACGACAACAAGAACAACAAAAAGCCAAAAAAAAAAAAGAGTTTATAAAATGAACACCAAACAAGACGAACAATACATTAAATGAAGCCTGGGTGGGCTGTGCGTGTAGAGAGGGGGAGAGAGTGTGTGTGTGCGTGTGTGCGTGGATGAACATTAAACCAAGACCAACTTTCATGAGGTAGACATAAGCAGGACAACAGTTGATAAAAGCGGGGGGCTTTTGAAACAAATGCAAACGAATGAATTGAGGAATACCCATAACCAAAATGAAGCTTAACAGAGGTAGCCCAACAAAACTGGACAGGAGAAATAAGGTCAGTGGAAACTCAAGATGACATTTGGATAAAATTCTATAGAGCGCAATTTGAAGATTATTTGAAACAATGATATAAGTTAATTATATAGGCTGAATGATTTTAATCTTTAATTTGTACGTTTCTTTTGAAGCAATAAATGTCACTGAATATATCCTGAATATGTCCCTATGTTTTTTGAATATTTTTAAAATTTTTATTTGTAAAATATCTTTTTTTTTTCTTGTGTATAATATATTTAGCAAAGATCAATTTCACTTCAGCTGCTCAGAAATTTTTTATAAAATATCATTGTTCAAAAATACTTCAACAAAATGCGCGAATTTTATACAGAAATTTGTAAACCTCAGTTATAATAATAATATAATGATAATGATAATTACGAATATGTTTGTTTTCCTTTTATAAATAAGCAATAATAATTGAAAATAAATTCAACCAAGTTTTACATAAATAATTGGTAAATTTAAACAAATATGCTAGGTATACTCTTTTTTTTTTTTATTATGTTTGTATATATATGTATAAAAGAGACCAAAACACAATAACATATATGTAGGTATACATACATATATATACACATATGTATACATATATACATATACATATATATTAATATATCTGTTGAATACTTCATTAAATCCAATTGAATGAGCACTAACTGCCAGATTTCTTAACAATTACAAAACTCATAAAAGTTAACAAACGAAAATATAATTTAAAGTATTCAGGTGTTACAGTTTAATTGCTTGGTGCCTAAATCAAATATTTATATTAAAGGTCCAATTGTTAAAATAAAAATATAAGTTAAGCAATTACGCATTATTCATGGTATTTATGACAGTTTTAATTAGATAGCTCTAAAATTATAATTTTTGTTTTTTTCTTTTGTTAAACAATTATATTTTTTGGTTTTATATTATTATTATTATTTTTTTGCTTATAAACTAATACAATTTTGGTAAAAATTATTTTTTCATTATTAATTTTTTTATATATATATATATATATATATATTTTTTTTTTTTTTTTTGTGAAACGTTAAAAATGAAACCAAACCAACAAATGTAATAATAAAAATTTTCAAATTGTGTATGTTTTTGGTATTTTTTTTTTTTAGCAGCTTTGTACAATTAAGTGTGTGCGTGTTTTCTGTGTGTGTTTTCATGTGTATGTGTATGTAAGGTAAGCATTTTATTTGGCTACAAAACTTTCTTAATGATTGGAGGGGAAAAAACTTAAAAAGAAAAAAAACTTGAGCACAAGTGCGAAAATATAAGACACACAGAAATATTTATTGAAAACGCTTTCATCTAGATAAAGCACATAGGAGATCGGCGGTACTTACCCGAGTGTATGGTGTTCCGGGCGCAGTTCTGATAGGCGGCGCAATAGCCCTCAAAGACGCGCAGCACTAAGGCATCCTCCTCGAATGTGGGCTGATTCTTGCGACCGCTACAATAGCTGGCCAAGGCGTTGTTGGAGCTGCCCGAACCAGAACCGGCACCGGAGCCGGAGCCGGAATTGGAGCCGCTGATTGTGTTTAACAAACTTGGCCGTAAGGGCGGCGTCGGACGCAAACAGGTGATGGTCCAGTTAGCTGGAAGAATAGAGGAGTAATATATCAGTTATATAGGTGACGAATAAAAGGCTAGTTTTGGCGTGAAAGCTGTGTGGGTTGAGCCGTAGAGCTAAACAATTTCAGTGTTAGATTCTTAGTAGCTAGATTTTATTTTAAGCTAAGATTGTTTAATAGCTAGATTTGGTTTAAAGTTAGCCAGTCGGGTAGCACCAACTGTAAACTTACCCTTTGTGCTTCCTTTCTTTGCGTTTGGCGCCGCCGTTGCCACTGCCGCTGCTGCTGCTGCCGCTGCCGCTGCTTGGATGGCCGCCTGGTTTGATTCCGTGGCCGCTGCTGTCTTGCTGCTTGGTGTCGGGGCTAAATTTGATTTGTGGTTTAGCTGCCCCAGATGACTTGGTAGACTTGGTGGTTGTGGTGGATGCAGATGATGTTGTGGAGGCTGAGTGTGCGTGTATTGGTTGTAGCTCAGATGATGATTGAAGGAGAGGCTCCGTTTGTGTTGTGACATCGCTGTGGCTGCTGCCGATGCTCCCGCCGAGCCCGCCAGCTGCTGCTGGCTGTTGCTGTTGCTGTTGACGCTGCTGCTGTTGTTGTTGTTGTTGATATTGATGTTGTTGCAGCTGTTGTTGCTGATGCTGCTGGGCGTCGGATTGCGACTGCCGGGCGGCAGCAACAGGCTGTGCGTCGATGGCGGAGACATCTGAAATAAAGCCAGAAAGAAAACAGTTTATTACAATTCTTAGTTAAGCCTAAAGTGATATATGGGACCTGGGTTAGTTCTGATTAAGGAATACTTGGCAACTGACAGCAACAGCGGCAGCAGCAGCAGCAACAATTGCTATAAACATCAACAACAACAATAACAACAACAACAGGCCGCAATCCTTTGGGCAGCTAGCGAGCAAAGCGCAGCAAGCAAATCAAATCGAATGAGTTTGTTTCGTTTCTTAATTCATTTGATCAATTTCAAAATGTATATTTTCTTTTTGTGTTGCTGGAGCGTTAGATAAATGTTTTGTAAATCGTTTCTTTTTTTTTCAAATCAAATTCGAACTTTTTCTGGTGTTTGCGTTTTGGGTTAGTGGGCGCAACGTTGCAATGTGGATGATTGGATGCGATAAGGTATTGAAGAAAAAGTTCATTGGAGCACGCCGAATAAATCAAGAATTACATTATTAGAGAGTTTCTCCTTTCTGTAGTTCTAGTTCTAATCTGTCCTCAATTATTTGGAGATTCGAAAAAACCTAGTTCCAGATTTGTTCATTTGAACTAGTTCCGACCATGAGCATAATTGGTTGTACCGCAAAATAGATAATATTTAAATTAACTCTTGATATGTGCTACCTGCAATTAAATATTGTTCACTTGATCTAGTTCAATTACCCAATTTAAAAGAGTATAAAAAAAAATAAAAAATTAATCCTCAATTTATAATTGAACCAGCTGAGTTTAAAAAGTATTTTCATTTCACATCGAATCATATTTTGGAGCACCTTTTGAAACTAGGTAAACAGATCAATAAATTCTTCAAATAACCCTAAATTAGTTCCAATCAAAAAGGTTCGAACAATCAATCATTAACGATATGAAGCGGTTAGTCAAATGCATGTTTGGATGACTGAATGTTTCAACTGAGTAGAAGAAAGCAATTTCGTTCAAATGAACTAAAAGTGATTCAGAAAATAGTTTTGTTTTGGGTGTGCTGCATTTGCCAAATTGAATGCTTGAATTAGAAGATGATGATGTGATTGGAAACGTGAGCAAAACGAATTTACAAAACAATCAAACGGAACACGTGCACGTGAAACAAACGTGCGCCATGCCACATGCCACCTGGAATTGTGGTAGATACAGTCATATGTATATATAGTATATTTATATGTATGCATCTATTCCAGGCGACATGGCCGGCGTCTCACTTCGTTTTGGCTTGCCTTCTTCGGTTGCTAAAGCTACGCGTGCCGCACAAATCGGACAATCGAGCGACAACGAATACGACGGCTGTGCCGCAGCGAAGGCTTCTCGTCGTCGCTGCGTTCCAGACGGATTGAGATCCATATCCTCGCTGCACACCGGACAATTGGAGCAGATCGAGGCGGTTGTGGTGGTTGTATTGGTGGTGCCAGTGCTGCTGCCTGCATATTCGCCACAATTGTGACAGAGCGCACAGTAAATGGCGCCCTCGCTGAATCCGCTCGCTCCCAGCGAGCAATAGCAGCTGGAGCACACGGAGTTGGTCGAGCAATTGGAATCCTTGCTGTCGCTGGCCGTCACCGAGGGCAAACGCTTGTTATAGGCGCTCGCTATGCCGCGCAACACCTCCGGCGGCAGTCGCTCCTTCTTCCACCAGTGCGCATACATGCCGGATCGAAAGGTGGGCCGTGGCTCCCTGTGGAGCTGATCCGCGGAGCAGCTGTCGCTAAATTGGAGACCATTTGATGTGGCTGTGGGCATGGCTTCATCCATGGAGCTGGAGGCCAGAAAAATACTTTTTGTATTGATTTGGAATTGGGCACTGGATTGAGTGGTCGGCGTGGTAGGTGATTCCAGTTTCGGCTCAGAGTCCGTCGACTTCGGCTCATGCTGCGACTCCTCCTTCGCCTCGTCCTGCGTTTGCTCGGGCGTCAAGAACTTTTCACGAAACATTCCGCACACATCAAAGCGCTGCTCCGGCTCCACATTGTCGAGCACATCCGTGCCGCAGCACTCTGCATTGGGTGGATCCGGTGAGGCTATCGTGCAGCTGCCTGCCATGCCGCTATCACTGGAACGCGGACTGGGACACTGCGAACTCTCACAGCATCGGCATTTGCACTGGCTGTGCTGTGCCGGCTGCTGATCCCGTCGTGCAGCACCCGGCGGTGCCTGTGGCGGTGGAGGCGGCGCAGCCGAACGATTGTTCATCTGCAAGAATTGATAGCTGATGCAGCGTCTAATGGAATCCCGTTTGCTTTCCGGCCGATTAGCCTCTATGCACAGCTCGTTGCTTGAGTTCCTGCGCACAGCGGACGGCTCACTACGTGGATTACCCGTGCTGGGGCTGTCGCTCTTATGTGATGCCCGCTGCTCCACCGCCTGGTCGTAGTTATACAACAGCTCAGCCTGCAGCTGATCGGGGGCAGCTAGACATGCAGCTGGCAAATCCATCGTGCTGGAGTGCACGCACTCGTCCTCCTCGTTGAGCAGCTGAGCATCCACACTTTGGTTCTGCTGCTGCTGCTGGCGCTCCCGCCATGTGGGCACATAGACCTCTGTGTCGGCGCAACGATTGAATCGATTGCCCACAAAAATACTGGGCATGCTGTGCCGCTCGGTGGGCGAGGCGGACAGCTGTGTGGCAGCGGGCAGTGGCTTCGCCTTCTCTGGGCTGAGATCATCATGAATGCTGGCCAGATTTTCGCATGCCATAAAAGCGCCGCCCAGGCGAGCTCCATACAAGGAGCTCGCATCGGAGCTCTGCTGCTTTAGTGTAGAGGGCTGCGAAAGCTGCTCGACTGCCTGATCCACCTCCACCGGCACCTCCAGCTCTTCCACTTCTTCTTCCACGCAGTTGGTTATGCTGGAGCCACCCAAATTGATGGTAGCCGTTGAGGTGTGCACACTGGAGTTGCGCTCAGTCGATTTGCGAGAGAGCGCCCGCAACGCCTTGGAACCAATAACAAGCGACTCCTTCTTTAGCTCGTGCTGCACTTGCAGCTCCTCCGTATCGAGGGAATCCACTTTGATTAAATTTATGGATGAGGTGTGGCGCTGCCCGTGCTTCACAAATGTGCCCGTGGAATTGCATGTGGACTCCAGAGGCCTGTGCTGATAGAAGCGCACATACTCAAACGGATCCGAATCACAGCTGCGCAAACATTCATTATCATATTCATCGTCATAGCTCTCCGAGTCGGTGGGCAGCTCAATGGCATTCTGACGCTCCAGCTCCGACTGTGACTGCGAAGACACTGTTGACTCCTGCCTATTCGCATTGATATCCTTGAGCAGCTTGGCGGCTTTATGACAGCGCTTCTTGCGCAAGGCAATTCGCTTGAGATCGATGCTCTGCCTCGCCTGCGGATACAGCAGCATCTTAACAATCGCGCTGCGCAGGCGTCCCGCCTTGACGAGCCGTGCGAAATGCGCACTGAGATTGGCATACGGCGCCGTTGGTGGGTAACTATTGGGCGGCAAGGTGAGACGCAGTGGGGCTGACTGCTGCAGCGGCTGACTGTAGTAGGCGCACAGCGAGAAACGTGTGCAATAGCCGCGCGCATCCAGATGCTGATTGAGCTGCTCAGTTGCCAAGGCACAAAGATGTGGAATAGTAATGAAAGCTACTAAATGTACTATGTTAAGCAACGTTTTCAAATGGGTGTGGCAAAAGCTCTTCTTCTTCAAATCGGATTGACAATTCTTGTTTAACACTCTTTACTTTATTTATACTCATTTTACATTTGCCGGCCCATATGAAAAGTTCTCTTTAAAGAAAACTAAAATACTCTGTACTTACGTGCGAAGCATTCAGCTGCTGACCGCCCAGCGAGGAGTTGCTTAGGTTGCTCAGCTGACGCTTGATGCCCATGGGCAGACTGGGATTGTTGGCATTGAGCAGCTCGACCCACTTGTTGGCCTCGTTGGGTCCCTGGCAGACGGCCACAATGCGATCGATGAGCGAACTGCTTATCTCAAAGGCATTCTTAATGACATCCGTGTCCTCCAGGCGGTTCACAACGATGCCCGTCAATGGCAATTTACCCTAAACGAAATAATATTATTAATTTATGCATATTCTGTACAGGTCCAGGACTCACCTCATAGATAAAGGCGCTCATGCGCTGGCTAACGCTCAGTATGAGCAGCGTTTGGGGAAATAGCACAAAGTAGCGATCGCGGTGATCCGGACCCACAGCCACGCTGCCCATGTGTATGATGTCGCCCAGCGTGCTCAGCTCCTGACCCTGCCAGTTGCGCACCGGCCCCGTCAACACCTGCAGCTCGAGCTCCTTCTGGCGGCGCGTAGCCGAGCAGGTGGCCGCAATGTCCTTGTAGACAGCCACGCTTCGCTGTGTATCGCCACGGTCCGGATGGCTGCTCTCCATGTGACGCTCCAGCTCCTGCAGCATAGCCGAATACTTGTCCAGGCGGCGAAAAGGCTTCGACAGCCCCGTAGTTAGGACTAGCAGACCCGGCGAGGAAGCGCCCTGCCGCTCCATATACTTCTCCAGCTCATCCCTGTGAATAAATAAATTGGATAGATCAACTTAAGTTGAGCCTTAAATCGTATAGAATCCCTACTCACTTATACTTATCCAATATAACTATGGCCTTGGGATGTGCGGCACAGTAGGCTTGATGCACTTTTTTCATAAGCGGCGCACTGGTTAGAAATAGTTTGCCCACGCGCTCGTTGCACTCCTCAATCTGTGTGAGCAGATCCTCGTGCGTCTTCACCACCTCCACAAAGTTGCACATTAGCTGCGCATACTCATCCTGACTGAGTCTGTAGGGGAGAGTGGAAGCAATCAGTTTTGATTTCAGTTGTGAACAGTTGCATTGACTTACATTTGCGTCTGCTGCATGGGTTCGAGGAAATTCTCGAGCAATCCTTGCAGCTCTGCGACATGTGCTCGTTCCGAATCGAGCAGATCCTTGAGCACCACGGAACGGTATTCTTGTATTTCCTCGGGCGGTCGTATGGTCTCAGCCAGCGGCAACGGAGCCTTGTACTCGATCACATAATTGCTGGGAAACCAGCCAGTCTTATCATTCAGTGTGCCCTCCCACCAGCCGCCGTCCTCGCGCTGTGTCACCGTGATTAGGTCACCCTTCTTGAAGCACAGCTCATCGTTGTTGCTGCCCATAAACGAATATTCGGCTCTCACAATCAATGGTTGCTCCATTTCGCTTGCAGCTCCAGCCAGATCCGTTCCAAAATCCTGCTCTCAAATTTCCGTCAGCTGAAATAGAAGACGATGAAATTGTTGAAAACTTCACATTTTGAATGGTTATAGTTAACACTTATGATATATTTCTTGAAAGTTAAATTTTGTTCCAAATTAAATTTAAAATTAAATTGTTTAAAAAAATATATGTTTTATCTTTTTATTATTATTGGCTGATAAAGTAATATGAGAAAATATTATTGATGATAAAGTAATATGAGAAAATATTATTGATGAGTTTCATTCACTGCAGTCTGGGTCTGGCGTTAACTAATTTTCTAAATATTCAAAACCAAACTTAAAATTCACAATACTTTTGGAATGAGCCTCGTAAACAGCGTATCATTTAAAGGATTCTTCAAATGTCATATAAAGCATTCCAAAGAAAATTGATAAATCCGTTGTTTTTAGTCCCAATAAGAGCCAAACACATTTTATACTCGAAAAGATCATTGTCAATGTTTGTTGAACTTGAAAAATCAGCGTGTGTGCACATCATGAATTTGTTCAATGAACATTTTTCTGAAGAGTCGTCACATATATCTATCAATTATCTATACTATGTATATACTATATACAATATATATAAAAATATATGCTGCTTTACGACACCCACGCGAATGCGTTCTTCAATCCATTTCGTTTTTAGCGCTCACAAATTATTATTATGGCCGAAAGGCGCTTCGGAAAATAACATCTGTTGTCTTCACAGGCTAAAAGATCTCGTGTGAAAAAAAATGCTTTCTTGACATTTTTGTGCAATCTGGAAAACTCGTGAAAACGTTGGGAACGATCGATGGCCAAGGCCGGGAAATTATGATTACAAAATGTCGAATTACAAAACAGCTGTAAAGAATTGAATGAAATATTGTTTTGTTTAAAAACTGTACATAAATCATACGACCATGTCTTGGGTATCTCAAAGAGAAAAGAAATTTACGACCGCACTTTTTACGATATGTTCGAAATTAACTCGAGCATCGTACACAAGATGCTAAAATTTTAATGGCCATGAAAAAGTATTGAGTTATAAAAACACAATATGTTTAAGATAAACATGATTTCCTCATATGGCTTATTTTGATTGTAAGCTAATACGCGGCAATAACAACAGATTTATATGTTTTATAGATTTTATGTCAGGGTTTCAATTAAATTGTTTCGAATTTGTGCCTTTTTCTGTGTTCTGAATAATTATGGGATGTGAAATCAATTTTGATCATTAAATAATATGAATGAATGTTTTTGAAGCTCAGTAGGAATGTTGTATATACATAAATGAAATTGATTTATCTGACGTTAAGTTACACGGGGCTCTATCAATAGAACAAATGAGTTGCATTGATCTGCCTAAAAATATATATTTTTCTGCATTTTTATTAATGAGTCTGGGTTAATCTAGAATAATTCATCTGACTAAAAAATCTTTTGATAACATTTATTAATCGACCTAATACTTTTTTATTTCACCTATAAGACTTTTGTTAAGGCTCATCGATCTACCCAAAAGCCATATGGTTTCATATTGATATTAAGTTTTATTTATTTATATAATTTATATTAAAATGTCTTTATATCAAACTTGTAAAACACAATATGTATAGAAACTTCTGGATGATATGTTTTTGTATATATTTCTGAAGTTTGCCACCAGAATATTCGACATTCTCTTTAAATGTTACCTATACATCATAAACAATCCAAAAAATAAAATAAACAAATGAAACTAAATGTTTATAAAAAATATATGTGGGTTGAGCAAAACTAAGTCTTCGTTAAATTTACGATTAAATGTTGGCTTTCTTGTGCTAGTTTTATTATATGTCCTACAAATACCGAATCACGTATGCTCTACATCTATCCAGATTAATCAAATAATTTTCATTTTATTATTGCCACAATGAATAACCGCAAAAATATGAAAGAAAAACATGTTTTTTCTTTCAGTATTTTTTCCTGTATTTTGATCATTAAGTTTTTCGCATCCAAAAATAACAGCGTAACGAAAATATATAAATCTTAATGTGCCGACTTGTTCCATATGCCAATGGAAATCAGGCGATATCTGCTGTACTCATAAGTATGTGTACATATATATATATATATATATATACAGATAGATAAATATGCACAGAAATAGTGGCCCAGACACTTGCCAAAAGAAACACACACAAAATTATTCCATTACAGGTTTTAATAAAAAGTGTTTCATAGACTTCTTGAAGAGAATTTCTAGCCTATTTGTTGATGCTTGTTGCTGAGAGACGATAATCTAATCGACAAGGTCGTCTTTTTAGAGAATTTTTTTGGATTTGTCATTTTTTACACAAACACACACAGACACGCACATTTCTATGCACTTGTATTTGGCATATATATATATTAATATAGATGTATGTAGCTCTTCCATATGCCCGCTCAACCATCAATTGTTGCACGATTCTTTCGCCGCTTCTCGCTTTTGACTGCACCGCACGCGCTCATCGCTTCCACAAAACTGCGATGGCGGCATTTGGCGACAGCCACGGCCCACAAAATCCGTAAAAATGGCAACCCGAAATTTTTCACGGCTTTGCTCGTGTGCCGACCACAGTGCTGCTAGCTTGAATCTAGCTTTTTTAATTTAATTTTTTGTTTTTTAATGGCTAAAAAAACATAGCCGGTTAATTTCTTTTTTGTTTCTTAGATAAATGAATATAAAAAAAATTGTTTAATAAAATAAATATAATAACATATTTTTTCATTGACCCATCTCATTTGTATTTTCTTCATAGAAATTTTTGTTGTTAAGTTTTAGTTTTAGCTCGTTCTTTATTCTAGCCTTTTTTCAAAATTTACCAACACTGAATGTCGCATATACAATGTGTGAGTGTTGTTCTCTCACAATATCTCGCCTTCTCTCGCGCTTTTAATGATCGCACAGCTAAATACTTAACATTCTCAAAAGATATACACCAGTGCATATAGCTCAATATCTATATAGTCTATAGTCTTTTTGGCCGGATACAGCGCATATTCTCATGAAAAACACAGAAAAGATGACAAACCGTGAGGCAATCAAAAACTGAAAAATCCGAATGAGCATCAGGTATTGGGGAATGCAAATCAAAGAAGAAGATAAAAGAGGTATAGCTAAACGGGGCGTTCAATGTGACAATTTTCCTTTTCATTGAGAAATATTGTCATGTTTTTTTTATTTATTCATCTTTTGTTTTGAAAAAATCCATAAAAAAAAAAAAAAAAAAAAAAAACATTTTGGTTAAATCACAAACAAGATGGCTAAAGCAGTTGGCAGTTGGCTGGGAAAATGCGTCATATCTATGAAAAATTTTAGTTAATCGTTTTAGAACATGAAGACGACAAAAAATAAAAAACAAAATAAAAAAAATAAAAAAAGAAAATAATTGGAAATATTTATGGGACTTTTTTTTAACGGAAATTCACCTGCTCCTATCAGTTTTGTGTATATTGTTTGTGTGCATGATTCGAATTCTAAAGTGGGATCACTGACCAACGTATGGGAGAGCAATAAACTAATGTTGATATGGTATAATATTCATCATTGATTAGATAACTGATGGAACATACAGTTTTAGATTATATTATATTAAGATATTAATAATAATTAATATTTAATATGGGAATTCTTTGGAATAAAACAATGAATATATACTGTTTATGCCAATTATTTTAGAAAATATTTAAGCCACAGATGATTGCAAGTTTATTTAAATTTTAACAACGGATTCCAAATCATAATTCAACTTAAAATTCGTATGCCATCAAGTGTTTTATGGAGAATACATTTCATTGCCTGCATCACTATTGATCTCTTCAGCCCACACGGACTATAAAAACAACAATAAATCAGAGCATAGACTAACCCTGAAATAGCATAACGTCCATGGCCGGGAAAACAATCAGCAAACAAAAAAGAATTATAAATATATAAATTTCCGTAGGTTGAGCATATTGCAGCGCTCATCAATGTGGATGGCCGCCAGCGACAGTCAAAGTGATGCAAGCAGAGGTCATGCCCGATGCGCACACAAAGAGATGCCGTCGTCGCAGTCGACGTCGCCGCATACCAAACAAAATTTTAATTAATTCATTAAACTTGCACATGGCGCCGACTGAGATGGCAACATCAGTTGCAGTCGCAGTGGCAGCCACAGCCACAGCCAGCAACAACAACAAGTTGCAGGAGGCGTCATTGAGTGCAATCAAAGCGACAAGAAGTGCAGCAACAAGAAGAGAAGAATACCAATTACAGACTAGCAGACACCCTGGAGAAAGGTAGTAGAAAAGTAGTGGTATGGTTGGTGCAGATATGTTGAAATGCGACCAAAGACTTACATCAAATATTTATAAAGTATATGACTACTAAGTACTAAGTGAATAGATTATATAGATCACTAACTGATATTACCATTTATCGATTAAAGATGGCTACTTAAGACTTTACAGATGCACTCTGTATAACGAATATAATCAATATAGATAGAGTAGACTCCATATACTCTCTATCATTGCTCTGATATCTTTCCACTGATAAGTTAGCATACTACAGACTTAAGTATATCAAATCGAGGCTGGTGTGGCTTAAAAATACCTTACATATAACTTAAACGGTGTTATCTTCGGAGCGATAGCGAGCGAGATTGAAGGGTTCACAAACATGACATGACAAAAAAAAAAAAAAAAACAAATATATAAATATATATATATATGTATTTATCGCTTTACTAACTTGCTAATAATAATTTTGATAAACTTATAAAAGCTAAAGATCTATGTAAAGCCGAACTAAGGGTATTTCACAGTCCTTATCAGCTATCTTTAATATTATTATAAACAAATTTTTTAGCCTAAGCGATACATTTAGCTTTTTAAATCAGTATGAGATGTTTATCTGCCGCGAAACAATATTATTGCAGGGTATACATATTTCATAGTATAGCAAATCATTATAATGATGCAAACGGTGATGATGATGATGATGAGGATGATTTGTGAAAAACAACTTCCGGAAGTGCGCAATTTGATGAGGGAAATTCACAAAGCACTCTTTCTATTTTTCTTTTCATTTCCACTCGGGCGACAGAACAGATCAAAAAAGCTGCGAAAAACTGAGAAAGCCCCAACAACACGACAAATTGTAAACAAAAACAAAAACTAATTTTGGATCGGGTGTGAAAGAATTGGCAATTGAAGCACCTACTATACTATCGATGTAAGATTTGTATACAGTAAAACTAAGAAAACACATCACAAAGTCAGAAAGAAAAACACAAATGGAAAACACAAAGGAAACACACAAACCAAACGAATGCAGTTCGACAGCCAGTAAAATCTTGTCACGTCTGGTTCTCGAGTCGACAATGTCGATTGCAGAGATTTAGATTTCGGACTACTTGCGATTGAGAGAGGGAGAGCGCTAGTGCGGAAGAGATAGATAGAGTGTGTGTGATCGAGAAATATATGGGCATAATATAATTTGATTGCATCTCTATTTATATACATACGTCAGACTTCCAATCAAGACGCCCCCCATTTGTCGAGAGTTTCAAGTTGTGGGTAGGAAGTTCATATTCTTTCGTGCTTTATTTTAATGTTCTCATCTCTAGTGCTCTTTCTTCTCTCTGCGTGAGTGTGACTGTGTATGTGGGTGTGGGTGTGAGGCGTGCAGTTCATAATTTGTTCAAAACAAAATATCGAATTGCTAACTGAATGTGGCATATTTTGTATCGTTTCGACCAAAAATGAGGTCAACAGCGAAAAGCAAAAACTAAAGTGAAGAAATGAAAATTCGTCGAATATTAAATGCCCTAGTAAAATGAGAAATAAATGCTATCTAATCTTAGATGAAATGAATATATCTTTCATTGAAAACTATAAAGCAAATGAATCTTTATGGCATTAAGGAATGACGAGCTGATATCAAGATATACATTATATATATGATCAAGAATTGTTTCTGGTGCATCCGACTAACGGTTACATCTATTTCCGAAAAAACATTATAGCCTCAATTACTTCAACAGATTTAGAGTACAGAAATGCCAAATATTTTATTTTTGTGTTTTGTTAGGAGGGAAATATTCATGAATCGCTTTCATTAATGTCCAAAAATAACATGCGAAAACTGAATCGGAATGCCGCGGACAATGCACAACATTTATGAAACAATTCTAGGCAATGGAAACAACTCAAAAACTGGGACAAGAAAAGAATATATATGTATATGTATAAAGGGAGTCAATGACTCATATTGAAACGAAATCATTTAAAATATATATGATTCAGTTTTAACGTCAAATATAATAAACATAATATATATATTAAATATAATATATTTCCATTTTGCTATGTATTTAAAATATATTAATTTTTCTTTAAAAAAGAATAACATTTAAGCATTTTAAAAAAAGTCAACAATCAAATACTGAGCGACAAGTCAGGCAGAAATAAAATAATAAGAGAAATGCATTACTATTTTTAAAATAAGCCGGCATAGCGCGTGCATTGAACATTTTTATAAATTAAGAAAAAGTTTTAATCTATTTTATATATTTTATAGATATATTTTCAATTCATGTTGATTGCCTTTGCCTTTGGCTTTGCATAATTTAAAGCAAACTCTTTAAGCTTGTCGAAGCACTAGAAAATACAGGAAGCTGACATATCTCATATATTTTGTTGGCCGCCCGACTCTTGCCTCATTGCCCAAATCCTTGGTCCCAAGGTGAATAATATACAAAAACTGGCGAAATTGTTCGTCTTCTTTTTTAGTGAACGTGCACATTTTCTGCTTTTGGCAACAGTTCAAATTTGTTCGCTAGGGAATTGGAATTGGAATTGGGTTTAGGTTTGGGCTTGGCATTAGGGCTAGAGTGTGGGCTGGCAACGTGCCGTATCGTATGCTTTGTGGCCACTGCAGTGGAGTCCTAAAGGACTTCTTTGTGGTGTCATCCGCCCAGCACAAACAAACAAGACATCTCGTACTCGAAGAAAGCCTGCCAGCCTGGTTGCCTGCTTTATGTCTGTCTGGCTGCTATTGACCCTATGGATTATGTACAGCCTAAGTGGTGGGCACTTCAACCTCTTGCGGAGTGCAACCAACTTCAGCTTGGCAATAAATAACATTTGCTAGAAGGAAAGTGAGGCGGAAAATGTGTTGAAAATGCTTTTTGCTGCGGCTACTTCTTATTCTAAACTGAGCTGCAGTCGAACAGTGCAGACAATGCAGCGCCAAGCTGCAAATACCCAGAGGGAAACGCCTTGTTGAGTAAGCTTGAAGTAATATGATTGGAATTTACTGCAAGTGTAAATCCTATATGTATATTGTATATAGCTACAGCCCTACATCCACTTAATACCTTAGCTGACAAATTTTTATTGTAAGACTCAACCCTCATCAAGGTTTTCAATGTACATGACTTATTGTGTGAAATTTCACTATGTTTGTCACGCCATCTAGTGCAGCTGGGTTTCTTTCTAAAGCTGTGCTTCAATTGCAAGCGAGCGTGCAAGAAATACGCCAAACACCCAGAAAGAATTTCAAAGCTAGCTAAATAAATGAATATACAAATAGAATTTACTGCAATTTAGCACCTACTTCTAAATTGAAAAAAAAAAACCTGCATTTTTTATACATTTTTATTCTTATTACGACATTCGCATTGTTCATCACGTCCTTCAAAATGCCGCCTGACTTCTACTGTGAAATTTCACTACGCCTAGCATGTAATCAAGTGCAGCTGGGTTTTCTCATAGAGATGAGCTTCAATTGCAGGCGCGCGTCGATGCTTGTGTTTGTGCTTGTGTGACGCATCCAAATGCATGGAATGGGTGATGCCACTGAACTTTGCCTATGCACTAGAGTAGAGCATTGCCACCTTTATGAGTCAGCTTCCATGCACGCCTAGATCTATGCAGGTCTGTTGTTCATTCGCTGATTTATTTATAAAAACTAAACTTATACTTGTTGTTATGCTTACCTTTACCTTTGTTACGTTTTAACAAACATTTGTTGCGCCTCTGCTGCTTGTCGTCGTTCGTTGTATGTAATCGTTGTTGTTGTTGTTGCTGTCTCGCTTGTCGTTTTTTGCACGCACAAAATAGACGGATGAGTAATGAGGTGAAGCCCTCGTTCCCTTTTTACTGCTTGCTGCCTCCCACCTTTTTGGCAATTTTTTTTTTTTTTTTACTTTTAACTAACGCGGCTGCTGATGTCGCCGCCGGAGCGCATTTGCCTAGGCACGCGCATAAATATGACTAAAACACGCGCTTTCACTCAATATACACATATGTAAATACATACAAATACATATGTATATATAGTATATATATATATAATACACAAAATGCCTTTTTGGTTTGGCCAAGAGAATTTCTATTTCTGGGTCTCAGCAGACTAGAAAAACACACACGGCCATACAAGTGTTGCAAGTGTCGCGTAACTACCGCTGCTGCCGCAAGATAAACGCTCTGATATTCTTAACCCGATATTAGTTCGTTTTTTGTTGCAGCTGAATTTGTTTTAAAATTACACTTTTTACTTGACTAAACTAAAATATGCAATAATTTTCGACAGCAGCGACTAAACATAAATAAACAGCAGTGTGACTGCAAGTGCAAAACAAGAAAATACCGAGCACGATACTTCGTATCGAAATACTTGCGCAATTAATCGATAGAAAATATTTAAAGTGAAATGAGTAATTTAATAATTGCAATATCTACTAGCTACCTGCCATTAAATTTATTGTAAAATATTTTCTTTTTAAACACGGCTTTTGAATTAAAAACTCACTTTCCTAAATATTCATTTGCAAGTTAAGGTAACCCTAACAGTGCTGGAAAACGTTTACCACTATTCAAATGACAGCTTGAAGCGCAGCCAACTTTGCTCACTTCTTTCTTTCCAAAACTCTGAAGATGGTGAGTGGACGTCAATATGAGTTGTGCATTTCAATTTAGCATAAAAGCAATGTATAAAATAGATAAACAAATGCAGATGTGTATAAGTTAAATGGCAATTTTGCCTTTGGCAGTAAAGTGAATTGAAGCATGCTTGAGCTATACAAACGTGAGCAACAAGACCAAAATTCGACAATGGCATGCAAACATAACCTCTGCCATGTGTTTAGTTGGACAACGTCCTCACTTACCGCTTTGAATGCACGTGTAACTGCAGCAAATAATTGAAATTGGTTTTTTCGTTTTTGCTTGCAGTCGAATATCAAGAGGAAGAAGACCAGGAAGCTTCGTGGTCATGTCAGCCACGGTCACGGCCGTATCGGCAAGCACCGCAAGCATCCTGGAGGTCGCGGTAACGCTGGTGGCATGCACCATCACCGCATCAACTTCGACAAATACCATCCTGGTTATTTCGGCAAGGTTGGCATGAGGAACTTCCATCTGCGTCGCCAGCACAAGTTCAGGCCCGAAATTAATTTGGACAAACTGTGGTCTCTGGTCGGACCCGAGAAGTTTGCTGAGCTCGAGAAGGAGAAGAGCACTAAGGCTCCAGTTATCGATCTGGTTCAATTTGTAAGTTTCATTTAGGATATCAGAATTTGTGAAATATCTATTCTTGATTTTGTTCAATATGAAGAGATACCCAAGGCGATGGGCGGACTGAATGCAAACGTACAAATTGCTCTCCCCGTGTAGATAACGCCTTTCAGATACAAACAAAAGTCAAAATCACAGTCCATTATGTATTTGCCCTTATTGATTTTCATTAAATAATGTGTGCCAATTCTTTCTCTCTTTAGGGCTACTACAAGCTGTTGGGTCGTGGCCATTTGCCCGCTCGTCCCGTCATCGTCAAGGCCAAATACTTCTCCAAGAAGGCTGAGGACAAAATCAAGAAGGCCGGTGGTGTCTGCTTGCTGAGCGCCTAAGTTTAAGGTGCGTCTCAACCTATTCAGCTTTTTATATGTTAACTAATTTACTCTTATTATTTACAGATATTCCTCTTCTAAATGCAACTGAACGTAATACATTCGACCATCAAAAATGTATTTGTTTTTTAATAAATTTAAAAAGAAAAACATTTATTGTGTTTTTATGCTTAATGGTTTTTGTGACGTCAGGGTTAGTTCGATATAAATGTGGCAACACTGCGAAGCTTCTGGGAAACCTCACATGTGAATAAACAATCTAAATTTATTGATATCGCTTACGCTTAAGAATATTTTGCGTGCGTCAACTGTTGTAAAACACTGGCAACAAGTGTTTATATATTGTATCCAGTGCTCCGACTTTGCTATACCCTGTAAAGAGTAATATGCTGTAATATTTTGTTTATTAAAAATATGCTAAAATTTGATGTATTTTAATTTTTATAAAAATACAATACTCAGCGTTTGTTGAAATATGAGTCATATTAAAGAGAATGAGTAAATATCAAATAATTGTATTTTACGAATCTATTTATTTAACCAAAATTATATTACTTGTATTTAAATATATCAAATGCATATTTGTTACGAACACATATACTCTATCTAATATTATTGAGACACTACAGGGTATGCAACACGGAAAATTTTTAATTTGTCATAAGCCAAAAAGTCTGGCAACCTCGTCGCTACTCTTCAGCATATTGAACGCAAATTTCGCAAGTGCAGTCAGATTTTCGCGTCTCGTTTGGCTGAGCGGTTGTGTTTACTTCGGACGCTACAGAGATAAATAGATAGAGAGTTGCGTGTCGGTCAAGGTAGATCGATTTGTTTGTTACATTTCCTATGTACTATGGCTGTCCTTGACTGAAGGACGAACGTAATTAACGCAATAAAACATTAAAAGGGCAAACAATAAACTTTTCAGAGAAAGCTACCGGTAACGGAAACTTTGTTGTAAATGTTGTATCTTTTGTTTACAGGTGTCTGTTAACTGCCAGTTGCAAATCAAGCACAATTACTACGTTACATAACGAGCAATAGGAAAGTGGAAAGATGGCTCAAAAGATATTGCGAAATGTGACGCACTGCATCTTCGATATGGATGGCCTGTTGTTGGGTAAGTATCAAAGAGCTATCGATATTTTATAGTTTACACATGCTTCTAACCAGACACCGAGGTTCTCTACACGAAGGCCGCCCAAATGGTGCTCGACCCTTATGGAAAGACATACACGTTCGATGTGAAGCAACAGATAATGGGTTTGCAGACGCGTCAGATGGCCGAGTTTATGATTAAAGAGTACGATCTGCCGTTATCTTGGGAAGAGTACGCCAAACAACAATCGGACAATGCACGCGCCCTCATGGTCGATTCACAATTAATGCCAGGTACTAATTTGTAATTTCACATTCGCCCTATTTCAGACACTGAGCGCATATACGAGGAGATTACCCGACAAATAGCGGGCGCATATGGTCGACCATATCCAGAGGCTGTGCGGTTCAGAGTAATGGGCACTACGGAACGACGATCAGCCGAAATAGCTGTCGCTGAGTGTGCAATACCCATTACTGTGAATGATTTTCTGCAACGTTATCACAAATTGTGCGGCGAACGGTTGAGGAATGTGCCCCTACTCGAAGGTTAGCCCGCGCCTCAGCTGTTCCTAGAGTAGATGTTAAATCAGTACACCTTCATCTGCAGTATTTTGTAGTTCTATTTTCTTTTCTAATACCATAACTTTGTGCTAATCCTGCATGCCTGACTAGCTGATCGCCTGCCTTGAATCACGTGATATTGAAGTTCCAATAAGAATTTTTAAAATATATTGTCCGATAGTTTGGACTGTTAAAAGATGAGCGGCAACCAACTCCATACTCCCTCATCTTAGAGAAGTGACTTCCAAAACGATAAACGATAAACTCATGACACTTTCTGTGTCAAGTTTGAATTTGCAGTTTCTATGAAAATGAACCGCTTTTAGCAGACGAGCGGACATGATTAATGTTTTATATGTTTGCAATATACTTATTTAAGTCAAACAAGAGCCTAGCTCGCTTTATAAATTCTAAAGCAATATACTAAAATAAACTAATCTAAAATGTAATCCCAATCCTTTACAGGTGCTGAGCGCCTATTGCGTCATTTGCACGCGAATAAAGTGCCATTCGCTCTGGCTACCAGCTCGGGCGCCGATATGGTCGAGTTGAAGACCACACATCATCGAGAGCTCTTCAATCTTTTCCACCATCGTGTCTGCGGCTCCACTGACAGCGAGGTGAAGAATGGGAAACCGGCACCCGATATATTTTTGGTTGCCGCCAGTCGTTTTCCGGATAAACCTGCGCCGGCCAATTGCCTAGTGTTCGAGGACTCGCCGAATGGAGTTGAAGCTGGCAATAGCGCGGGAATGCAGGTCGTCATGGTGCCCGATGAACGACTCTCCCCGGAACGTTGCGCCCATGCAACAAAGGTGTTGCGCTCGCTGAACGACTTTAAGCCAGAAGAATTTGGACTGCCTCCATTTAGTAATTAAAGTTGGAGTGTCCCTTTTTCATATTCTAAATACAAATTTATCGTTGTTTAGCATTTAGTAATTTGTTTTGTCTACAACTGCCATTATATTATTCTGCATATGGAAGCTTTTATCCATTTCATCGGCCAACCGCTTCCAAAGTTTTCTGAATATCTGGAATAGTCTGATTGGCTATTGGGATTGAGATTTCCTTGCCTTTTTCTGAAATGAAAATTATATGATATTTAATAATATGGAACCATAATACTCTAGAATTGTCAGCTTACCAAAGCGAGCACACAATTTTGGCTTCACACCGGCGCACTCTCTTACCAATATAGTCAGGTTTGGATTATCCTTTTTCAAGCTCGGATAAAATTGCTGTACGAATTTCCTATGGGAATATTTGTTCTATATAAAATTATATAATTAAACAATACAATTACTTAACAACCTGGCTCCCTTAGAGGCTTTGCATGTTGGATCTAATATTATACGCAATTCCTTTAACTTAGCCGTAAATTGGGCAAAAACTACAGAACTTATACGCATATCGGTTGGATTTGATAAGCCGTCAGAACTTAAATATGAACCGTATGCGTGTGCTGCCAGATACTTGAATTTAGTTGCTGGGTTTAAAAATTCTATGAATAGTCACCAAGGTGGCAGCTCCGCTATCGATAAATTGTATACAGCCCTGCTGATAGTCTATTTATTATAAAGTTTGTTTACGCGTGTTTTTCTTGTCATTTTGTTATTAAAAACTGGAAGATTAAATAACTAAATCAACGAAATGACGTCCGTGCATTGTCAACTGTGGATGGGCAGTGTAGGTAGCAAATGAAAAGCATAAAAGAATTGCACTCAATATTTGAATTGTTTTGCAGCTGGAACCGTACATGACGGAAAATTTCATAATTGCCGCATTTCGCAAAATGGGTGAAGATCCAACAACCGTGCGTCTGATGCGTAATAAATACACAGGCGAGCCGGCGGGCTATTGTTTCGTCAATTTCATATCGGATGATCATGCCCTGGACGCCATGCACAAGCTAAATGGAAAACCCATACCTGGCACAAATCCCATTGTACGATTTAGACTGAACTCGGCGAGCAATTCATATAAATTGCCTGGTAATGAGCGAGAATTCAGTGTTTGGGTAGGTGATCTCAGCTCGGACGTGGATGACTACTCGTTGTACAAGGTATTTTCCAGTAAATACACGTCGATCAAGACTGCCAAAGTGATCCTGGACAGTCTGGGATTCTCCAAAGGCTACGGCTTTGTGCGCTTTGGCATTGAGGATGAGCAAAAGTCGGCGCTATACGATATGAATGGCTATGTTGGCTTAGGCACCAAGCCCATAAAGATCTGCAATGCGGTGCCCAAGCCCAAGGCTGAGCTAAACGCTGCACTGGGCAGTGGCAGCAACACCTACGGCTACGGCGGCTCCAGCACTACGTCCACGTCGTCAACAAGTGCAGGCGGCACTGATTATTCGCAATATTACGACCCGACCAGCACCTACTGGCAGGGCTACAATGCTTGGCAGGGCTATTATGAACAAGGCGCAGCGCCTTCAATAACCGATGCTGCCGCCTACTATCAGCAAGCGATGTCCCAATCTCACTCAAATCCGCAGACCCTTGCCCAGCACGCCGAGGCGTGGAGCGCACAGCGCAGCGCCCAATATGAGCAGCAGCAGCAACAACAGCAGACTATCGCACCTAACGGCACTGCCGCCGTTGAAGATGATTATGGGCTGGAGGATCATAAGTTTGTACTAGATGTGGATAAACTCAACAGAGAGACTATCGATTCAGATCGTCATCTGTATGATGCTTTGGAGAGCTCCAAATGGTTGCCCATTGAGCAATTGGAGGTATTTTAATATACATGTAACTAAATGATCATCAATCATATAATACTAAAGTTGACATAATAAAATTATTGTTAAGCCAATTTGAATATATTTCAATATGTTAAGTGTTTTGTATTTTTTAAAGCTAGATTTGACGAGAATTGGCTAAACTGGCAGCACTAAAGCCAGCGCAATTTAATGCATGTATTTTACAATTTTCAAAGGTTATTTTGTTTACTTATGAATTATCTTGTAAAAGAAAATAATCATAATCTAATTTAAGAGAAACAGTGGTAATGTATATGATAGGTGTTTGTTTAAATGTAATAAAAAAAGCTACATTTACCGATACCTGGATAACGTGGCAGCACTAAAATCTACAAATGGCCAAATTTCTAAGGAGAGATGTATTTATATCGATAGTTTCCATACGATAATATTTATCGAAAGACTTTCAGCTCTATTACGGTGCACGATTTTTCTTGCAGTTTTCGACAAAAACAGCAATTTTATTTCAATGGCGCCGTTTAAACGGGTGCGCCAGCCAAAAATAACAACACAAGCGTTGCTCGACTTTGATTTGGGTGAAAGCTCATCAGACAGTGATTTTTTGCCAGACATTGACAATTGCTCAGATGGCTCAAAGGACGAAAGCGACGGCGATGGCGACAGCAGCGACGCCAGCAGCAGCAGCGATAACAGCGATAGCGATGCAGATGGTAATTCTGGCGATGACAGCGATGATTCCACGCTGCAATTGCGCCAGCTGCTAGCTGAGAGCAACAACAATGCACAGCAGGACGCAACAACACAACCGGCAGCTAACGCACCCGCACAGCTCGCTCTAGTGCCGGTGCCTCGTGTTAATGGTTTCAATGCGGAACCACTGGCCCCACCAAAGCGTATGTGCTGCGTGTGTCTGGGGGAACGCAGTGACGATGTCAACGAAATTGTCGAATGTGATTCGTGTGGTGTCTCTGTGCACGAGGGCTGCTACGGCGTTAGCGACAATGTGAGTATCTCCAGCACGAATTCCACCTGCTCCACCGAGCCCTGGTTCTGTGAGGCTTGTCGTGCCGGCGTTACGGAGCCGGACTGTGAGCTGTGCCCCAACAAGGGTGGTATATACAAGGAAACAGATGTGGGGAAATGGGTGCATTTGATATGTGCTCTATATGTGCCGGGCGTGGCTTTCGGTGAGGTGGAACAGCTCAGCTCGGTGACGCTGTTTGAGATGCAGTACAGCAAGTGGGGCGCCAAGCTGTGCTCGCTGTGCGATAATGCGCTCTTTGCACGCACCGGCGTGTGCATCGGTTGCGATGCGGGCATGTGCAAAACGTATTTTCATGTCACTTGCGCACAGGTCGCTGGCTATCTGATCGAGGCACATCACGAGGATGACGCGGCGGATCCATTTTACGCCCACTGCAAGGTGCACTCGGAGAAGGAGATGATCAAGAAACGTCGCCGCAATTATCACACTCTGCGCCTCAATATGCTGCAGCAGGCCAAGCAGAGAGCTCTGATCGAGGCCAATCAGCCGATAATCGACGCTAATCCTAATCCAGCACAGGCGCGCATTCAACGGAAGCTATTGAAGATACAGCAAAAATATGCGCAGCACAAACAAATGAAGCCAACACCATGGGTTCCCACACAAAAGATGTCACGTCTTTTAACCAGCTCGGCTTCGGCCTGCCGTCGTCTGCTGGCCAAGGCGGAGTTCATGGCAGTCGATGTGCAGCACTTGGAGCAGCGTGAAGCACACATACAAGCGCTCCAGGACATCCGAAAAAAATGGCATATAGCTCCAGCGTTTAGTGTTGAGTTCACAGCTTACTATATGGACCGTATTGTTCGCATGGCGGAGTTTAAGCAACAGCAGCAGCAGCTCGTGCAGCACAATGCCGCGTTGAGTCAGGCGCAGGATGTGCTGCGCGCCAAGTACGACAATGCCTTGGAGGAACGCAAGCAGGTGAAGGCTACGCGTGATGCTTTGGTCGCGTCCATCAAATCGCTGCATAGCAGCTTGTCGCAGCTGTGTCCCGCTCTGAGCTTACCACCCGTAGAAGTCATTGCACGCCCGTTGCCGGAACAGCTGCCCAAGGTGACGACACCACCACAACGGCCCATTTCTGTGCCCACAGCGGCAGCTCTGAAAATGGGTGTTGGTTTTCCCCTTGCCCACTTGGGCAATAAGCTGGACAACTCCCGCATGCTGAGTACCCAGCAATCCCATATGAACTCTAGTAAGGCATCCACCATTGCGCCTGCAGTTAGCTGTGGCATCTGCAAGCGCAATAATGATCAGCATTTGCTTGTGAAGTGCGACACTTGCAACCTGCACTATCATTTGGGCTGCTTGAATCCACCGCTAACGCGTCCGCCCAAGAAATCCAAGCTGTATGGCTGGCAGTGCTCCGAGTGCTGTGACAAATCGGATGTGTCCGATGCGGTGACTGAAATCTCACCAGGGCCTCGTAAATCGCGCACGCGCTTCAACAAGGATGGGCATTTGGTCTATGTGGATCGTTACTCACTGGACGATGTGCCCAAAGAGGCGCCTCAACATCATAAACGTGGACTTAACAAAACCATGCCTGCAGCTATTGAAGCTGGCGATGAATTTAGCAAGTCGCCAAAGCGCGCCAAGATGCAGTCGCCAAGGAAGACCCCTGTGAATGGTAGGAATATATATTTTTAACCCACTGTTATCCATTTTAATAATATTTGTCCCTTGCAGTTCAAACAGTTGCCCACATAGACCTTACGATTCCCCAAGCTGCAAATATCTCCCATCTGTCTGGCTGTGAGGATTCCATTGATGATTCCAGTGGCAAGCAATCATCGCGCAAAGGCAAGCGCAAGGATAAGCATAAAAACAAGCACAACTTGTCATCGGATACCGAGAAGTCTTTCAGCAAGGAGCACAAGCGGAAGCGTAAAAAGCGCGCTCATGCCGATGAGAGTACGCCGGATAATGCCAACTCCGGACGACCTATTAAAATCATATTTAAAACGTTGCGCTTGCCCGGCGAAGATGCGCCCGAGTCACGCAGCTTTTATGTGCCCGCCAATGCGGTGCGCTCTGTGGACGAGGCATCACGTCCCACCTCCGTGGAAACAGTTGAGGATGTCATCCAACCAGAGCAGCCAGCTGCCCCTGTCGTTGTGATGCCTACCGTAATAACGCCACAAAAAGCCGTGAAAGAGCCGAAACTGGCTCCAGAGACGCCCTCACCACAGCGCAAGGTCAGTCCTCGGAAATCGACGCCACGCAAACAGCGTGTGGGCAGACCACGCGTATCCACTCCCAAAGCCAATGTTGAGATCAATTGCTGTATCTGCCAGCAAACAGCTAAAGCCAATCAGGTTGTGACTTGTGATGAATGCCATAAACACTATCATTTCGCCTGCCTCGAACCGCCACTAAAGAAATCGCCGAAAATTCGCGGATACTCCTGGCACTGTGCCGACTGTGATCCCACGGACGAGGAGGCACTGCCCAAAAAATAGTTTTACATCTAACTAATGCACATTTAAGCATAAGATATAATATGATATACTATAAGCTCTCTTTTACCCAATGCACAAGTATTTTAAAATGTTTTCAACTAATCTATAAGCTTTGTATCATGGCATCGCAATATTTATCATCTCAATGATAATATCTTGCTATATAATTGTAACTATATCTGATTTCGTTCACTACCCATACTACGAATTCTTGACTAGCATACTAAATGTTTTTCATTTGTATTTATAACTTGTTTGTATTTTGGTTTAGATATCCAGATTAATACCAATTTTATAAAGCTTCCACAGAAGCAAAACAATCAACTAATTATACAACATACGAATATTTATAAATTTAAAACAATGTTTGTACAAATTAGGCATTTATTTTTTATAATAGTTTTAACATATCATAAATTCCATCAAATTAAATATTTCATTCAATATTATATTATGCCCTCCACAGTTAAACACCTCAAATAATTCTTTATGTAATATATTTCTGTATATATATATTTGACAAACAATAATTGTACAAAGCAGTTGGTTCACTTTAAAGCTTATATATTAAACTCATATGCATAAAAATTAGGTTTGGATCTACCAACCCGTCGAATTTAGCGCTTCAAATTCTTTTCGATATTGTGTCAGATCCTTCACCATGTAGGGGCCCTCCAATGTATAGCCGAGTTTTCGGTAATAGTTGCGAGTTCCAACACCTGAGATAACAGCAATCTTAGTGCTTTCATGCTCCTCGACAGCGATGCGCTGCGCCTCTTCCATGAGCAGAGTGCCAAAGCCCTGATGCTGGAACTTGGTTGGATCTCGAGAGCTGACGGGCACCACCGAGCCATAAACATGCAGCTCGCGCACAATGGAGCAATTGCCCTGCAGTTCTGGTCTGAAAGTCTCCGAAGAGCATTTGCGAAGGCGCAGCAGACCCACAAGTATATCCTGCTCGGGGTCCTCGTACGATAAGAACGTCTCCCAGCCGCCGTTCGCAACGTAATCCCGACGTATCAATTCAATTTCGTATGGACGCACTTTGTTGTGGATCTCTTGAATGCCAACCTCACGGGTACGCACATCCCGACAAACAGTTCCCAAATCTTTCATGCGAGCCAGCGCCAGTTCACGCAGGTTACCATGCTCAACGCCAGAGCTGTAGATGGAAGAGAATTGGATTGGATTTGAGATGAAGAGAATTTGAATTCAATTAGAATTTAGATCTTACCTAACCAAAGGCATGGGTATATCACGCTGTACTCGATAGACACGCGTCCAGGGCGGCACCAATGCCAAAATTTTGGCCACCAAGTCAACCAGCATGGACGGTGGATATGACTTGTAGCGACCCGTCTTCCAAAGCTCATAGAGGCCAGTGCCGCGTATGACCAGAGTGGGATAGATCTTCAGGCCATCTGAGCGAAAAGCTGGATTTTCAAAGTATTCAATAAACTGTTCGATGTCACGCTCAAAGTCAACATTTGGCAGATCGGGCATCATGTGTGTGACAATCTTGTAGCCGGCATCTTTGCCCATCTTAAAGGTTTCACATACCGCGGCCACCGTATGGCCACGATTCGTGTCTCTGGCCACATCCTCATAGACTGACTGCACACCGATCTCCAGACGTGTGCAGCCATAATTTAGCATATCCGTGATGTGACGCTTGAGGCAATAATCCGGTCGTGTTTCGATTGTGATGCCAATGCATTTGGTTCTTGATTTCTCGGAATACCGCACAGCTTCAGCTACATTTGCGCTGCTGTGACCGGAGAGGGCATCGTGCAAATTACGTATAAAATAATCACGATATTCCTCCGACAGGGCCATGAAAGTACCTCCCATAACAATAAACTCCACCTTGTCAACCGAATGGCCTAGCTGTTTCAGCTGCTCAACACGATGACGGGTCTGTAGAAAAGGATCGTACCGTGCGCGTATAGCACGCATCGACGTGGGCTCGTAGCCCGTATACGACTGTGTGGAGTATTCGAAATCGCTGTCCGGTCCGCCGGGGCAATAGACGCAAATGTTGCCCGTGAAATTGATGTGCGGACAACGATGTGGCTTGCACATGACAGCAACCACGGCAATCTAAAACAATCTAAACTATAAATAAATCACTAAATAGAATGAGTATTTACTTACTCCGCTTGCAGTTCGTATTGGCTTGGCGCGCAATTTGGGCAGAAGTATTTTCTTTGCATCGTGCGGTACTGCTGCTATAATGTCTACCAAACGTGGTGAGCTGTCTAGTCCATATTTGGATGATATCAGCGACTTCATGCGATTCAGATTCACATCCTTTTTGCTTTCGTGTGCCTTAAGCAGTTCCTGTATGATTTCGCCGATGACAAGCACCTGTCGCTCTTCGCGGCTAAGACCCACAGCTGCGACGGCATTAAATTTGACGAAATTTTAATTAATTTACTTTTTATTCACAATTCAATCATACCTAGTTTCTTTTTTGGTCTCATCTTATGGCTGGCGAAATCTTATAAATATTGCACGTGTGACGCTGTAGTTGCCATTAGGGAACGTAAAATGAAGAGGTTGCAACTTGGATGAACACTTTATGACGTCACAATAAAAATTGCTATTTGAATGTATATTCATTTTAGCTTAACTACTTATATGCTATTGTTAAAATAGTATAGTTACTATGTATAATTACTATGAAATCTCTTAATTCTATAACATATATGAAATAGTAAAGTAATTATATCAAAATAATTTCTAAATCTACGACGTCAGCTTGAAATGAAAACACAAAACAGTCTTGTTCGCTCACAGAAACGTATCTCTAACATTGCTATCGGTATCGATACAAAATCGATAGTTTTACTACAAGAAGTGTCTTTACGTTGCATGACGAAGAAGACATCAGTTGTGTTTTTTTATAACAATTTTCGACGGATTACAAAAATGTCTAGCTGCGTGCAGCAGCAAAACGACGATGAGCAGTTGCTGCAGCAACTGAATGTCAGCGACGATGAAATGGATGACTCAGGTGACATCGCTGAGGAGGAAGAAAAAGATAAACAATTACTTACAGAGCCAACATTCAGTTTTTCGGTGTGTATACAAAAAAAAAAAAAAAATGAAATACTTTTTATTTTATATAATTTGTGATATTCCTGGCAACTGCAGAACAGCCATGCGTGCTGGGTCTGTAATGGCTATTACGGGCCGAATTTCGGTGAGCCGCTCTGCGGTGCCTGTCATGCTTTTCTATACAATGCACAACGGGCTGAGGAGCTACTGACCGAATTGTCGGACGACGAGGACTCTGGCAATGATGAGCCGCCTTTCAAGGACAAACAAGAGGACGATGAAACTGAAAACGATGCGGATATAATGGGCTTCGAAGATCTAGAAGATGCGGCACCAGCTGCACCACAGCAGCAACAACAACAACCACAACAGCAGCAACCGCACCCGCAACAATTACAACAACCTGCAAACAACCAAGCTGAGCATATAGAAGAAGCACAGCCTGCGCAGCAACAGGCAGAGCCGCAAGTGGAACCACAAGCATTGCCGGCGAGACGAGGTACGCCGGAGCGTGATTACGAGCATGAACGTGCGGTAAATCCATTTTTGTTGCCCATCAAACGGCCACGCCCCGCCGCCCCACACGCTCTGCCCCATTACATGCTCGAGCTGACCGACGGACGTGCTCGGGCGCATGAATACAATGCAATCAACAGTGGAAACAGCAGCGGGAGCAGTGGGAGCAAGTGCATCACAAATCGCATACCCGTCGAGGTGATGTTGAAAATATTTGCATACTTGGATGACATGTCGCTGTGGATGGCCAGCGAAGTGTGTAAGCAGTGGAACGAGATTATTGTCAAGAATACGGCTCAGACCATGTGGAAGACCTACATAAAACAGCGCTGGCCGCTGTTCGAGTGCCTCGCCGACCAACCGGACTGGTATAAATTGTATGGAGCATTGATGTCGTCTTGCTTCTGTCGCACCTGCCTCATCGATCTGGGCAGCCAGTCGCCACCAGCTGGCGAATTGGGTAATATGATACGCAATAACTTTCTGCGCGGCGAAGCGAATCTGTTGAATAGCTACGAAGCGGAGGGCATATCGGCCATACCATTGGATCGACAAAATAACTATTGGCAAGCAACGATACTCGGTCCGCCGGGCAGCCCATACGAGGGCGGCAAGTTCTTTCTCTTCATATACTTCCCGGAACGCTATCCCATGACACCGCCAACGGTGCGTTTTCTAACCAAAATCCTTCATCCGAATGTGTCCAGGCATGGGGATGTCGGCATCGATATATTCCAGCAGCAAAACTGGTCGCTGGCTCTAAATGTGGCCAAGGTTTTGTTGTCGGTGCAAAGTTTGCTCACAGATCCCTACACTGAGGTTTGCATGGAGCCCGAGCTTGGCTATATCTACGAGCATGAGCGTTCACGTTTCGAGCAGTTGGTACGTGCGTGGACATGGAAGTATGCCATGCTGGAGCTCATGGCACCGCATTGAAAACAATTTCGTAGCCTTGTTTTAGAAAGTGGACTGAATGTTGGAAACATCTCATTTAAGTTGTTTTTTGTATATGTATTACCGTAAATGTATTTAGTTTTATGCAGCCATTTATATTGGCCTCTCAACAAAACATAATATTTAGTCAAAATTATGCTTAATATATATATATATATATAACACTCGGAAATGTTTAAACTAACGATGCATTGTTTTCTTCTTTTCAATTAGCATGAAGATATTTAGCTAACCGGATCTAATGGCTTGCTGAATAGTTCTCAAGAAATTAATATAATTTTGCTTAGGTTTATATACGAACTCTACCAGTTCCTCATATCGAAGAGCACAGCAAGCAAATAGGTGCATTTACTTATTTCGTCCACGACACCTTGGGGATATCGAAATGCTCGGTCAGGGTATCCAGATGCTCATTGAATTTCTCTACGCGCTGCTTGTGTGTTGTCTGTGCCTTGTCCATTATGCGTTTGTTTCGCATCTTCTCTTGTTGCTTTTTGGTCGCCAGTTCTGCTTTGGTCAGCTTGCGTTGGTATCCACTTGAATTGGAAGTCGAGGCTTGTACAGTTCCATTAGCAGCTTCGTTGATTTGCTGCTCGACATATGCTTGTTGCAATTCCTCTTTCTCCTTGTCCTTGCTCTTATGCTTCTTCTTCTTCTTTTTCTTCAGCTCCGAATCGCATTTGAGTTTAAGTTTGCCCTTGGCAGCGTATGCATAAGCATCAGACATTCTCTTTATTATTTATTTTCTGAACAGTTAAACGATTTGTTTTGTTTTGATTATAAGGGCTGACAAGCCACATGAAATAGTCAGGGCTGGACATGTTGTTATACTTTTCGATAGGCAAGTATTATCGATAGGAGATATAACATATTTAATTTTAAATAAATGCTACGTTTTTTTTTTTTATTACATTAAAACAAAGAGAAGTTAATTTTAATGATATAAAAATTCTAATGCTAGCAATTAATTTATTCAAGGGTAACAGATTTCTATTTTTTGTGTTGCTGTTTCTACATACTTGCACAGTAGCGTACACCAATTCTCTGTTTGGAGCTTTCGCTCTTTGTGGCCACTGGCCACCCACGCATCGTTGGTCCGTGTAAAAAAGCTCGCATGCCTACTGCATATGTAGTTGTGCGTGGTTAGGCTGCCGTGTACTTGTTAGCATTCAGTTCAATTTCAACGAGCAGCGGAACAACATCTCGTGTGTTGTGCACACGCTTTCAAGGCGCGTTTGTAAATATTTAAAAAATTTATTCATAAATTGCTAAAACTCAACAACTCAACCAAGGCAGTTAAATATGAAAAAAATTAAAAACCGTGTCGATCGCTGGTGTAAAGTGTAAAAAATTTAAAAAAAGATTTAATAAAAAAAATATTTTAAAAAAATCATAAAAATATAATAAAAATTCAATTGTAACATCTAAAAAAACCCCAAAGTGTGAAGGTGAAACATCTGCCCACTCGGTTTCTTGCAGTCTCTGAAAACTAACGGTTTAGACATTAGGTGGAAAAAGCTCGCTCACCTCGCATGCGTGTATGTGTGTGCGTGTGCGTGAGACTTTATTTGTGTGTGTAAGGCTCAGAGGTTTTGCTTGGCTGCTGCTGTGTGAGCGAGTGTGTGTGTGTATGCGTGTTGGTTTTAGCATCCTGTAGCAAGTTCTTCACTCAAGGATAACAGTCGTAAAAGCACAACAATGTAATGAAAATATCAGAAAATATTATCATCATCATCGTCAGGCAAAAAAAAGTAATACATTTTATGTGCCTGTTCCGAGGATACATGTTCATTTGCAACTGTCATGTGTGTGTGTGAGTGCGAGCGTGTGTCCTTTCAATGGCTCTGTTTTCTTACGACTTTTCATGTTATATGTGTGTTCTTTTTTATATTTATTTGACAATCTATCACATTTGCATGTTCGAAATTTACGATTTCAATTTCGAATTTGAACAGAGCGTCCGTTAACTAAGCAGCATGATCTAACGGTCTATAAGCTCATACACATAGCATGTAACAGGTAACCGCGCGCTCTCTGCCTGTCTCTCTTACGCTCTCTCTTTCTCTCTCTTTTTAACTCTCTGCCAGCCTGAAAAGGGCTACAAAAAAGGCAACTTGGGAAGCATCAACAGCGACTTTCAATGTCATAAAAAGAATGTTAAGCTCGCATTAAAAATAAATATCTGTTGTTCAGTTTTCTGCTTGGGCAGGCTTAGTTCTGACATCAAAGACTTTTTATTTTCTTACTCGCATGCATAAGTATTATATTTTTCTGTAATAAGTTGTCGAAATGGTTCACTCGCAAACAGACGGAAAACAAGGTTTCAAGCTGTTATAATCGAAGGTCAGAGTACTTGGAAATATTGTTTGAGTTCATGTAGCTTGTGACTGCAGTGAAACTCACCGAAACGAATAAATAAGATATTTATTTCCCTTTTACTTTCCTTAGCTTGTCTTAAATATTTGATAACAAAAAAGGTGAAAAAATATTTACTTACTTAAAAATAAAATTTCTATTGAAAAAATATGCTCAGTCGAATATTTGATATATTTTATACTTACAGAAAACTTCTGTTGAGCTTTTGGCATATTTAATATTTAATAATTATATATGCCAAAATTTTAGATTTCAGTTCAGTTTCAGATTTCCAACAAAAAAAGTGCTATTGTTAAAATTTTTAAAATAAATTAAGAAATAGATTTCAATAAGTAAGTTAGTAAATCGATTGAATCAGCAAATTTATATTGAGACCTGCAAAATTAAAAAATTAAAATTATGTTTTACATTGGGTTGGAATGAGTCTGTTGAGCTTGGAGTATAAATAAAATTAAATAAATTATCTATAATTAATTACGGATTATAAAATCGAATTACAGACATGCAATAGCTTTTGCTCATACAGTTTACTTTTTGAAGTGCATATATATTGGCTGTTTATAGCTTCAACTTTAATATTTATGATAAAATTATATTATATCAGAAATGATAAAAAAAATTTGGTAATTCTTTCTTAAATCACAATATATATTTTAAAGCCATCAACTGGCCTTTGTCTGTTTCTATGAAAAAATTACAGCTTTGCTCTAATTTCCAACTCCAAATATTTGCGAATAATGTTGCAAATAAGCAAACCAGTTGCCACATTTGTTTCAAAAGTTGACCATATATTTGATTTCATTTATTTGTTTTTATTTTGGTGTTGAAATGCCATTTGTGAGAACCCAAAAAGTTAGTAAACGAAAAAAAACAAGCAAAACCAAAACGAGGATAACTTTTTCATTACCAGTCGACCTTAAAATGCTTGTCGCATGCAAAATCGATTTGCCCACTTTATGACAGAGTGTAAAAGAGAGAAGTTTTGTGTTGGAATGAATTTTGAATAATTCAAAGGATGTTTCCCAAATGTTTTATTCAACACGTCGCACTGAAATACATATGAAAACACACTCACACACACACACATACACAGCCGCACAGATGATTTAAAATTCCAGAAATGTTTGTTGCAAAAGAGCTGCGGTTGCAAATGCGTTATTGAAATGCCATTAGCGCAATTTCAATGGCAACGCATACGCGGCGTATACGTTATTTGCCTCAGCAGCAGCAGCAGCAGCAACAGCAACAGCAGCAGCAGCAGCAGCAGCAACAGCATTGAACGATTTATATACCCAGCCAAGTGATGCGAATTGTCTGTTATTGTACGAGTGCAAATATTAACAAATGTATGCATTGTTTAACAAATATTTACACACACACACACACATGCACACACACATGCACACACACATGCTACGCACAACAATGAAAAGTAATCAGCGCACCATAAGAATGCATAATGGCAGCGCATCTGAAGTGAAAGTTCAGTTCGGTTCTGTTTTAGTTGAGTTTCTCCACCTTAATTAAAAAGTGTTAAAAAAGAAGAAGCAGAGCAAAAGAAAAGATCTAATATTGAAAAGCTAATGTACCTGCTGCCACCGCCAGTGGCATGTTAATCAACAATCGCAACAGTTCGTGGCCAGGCCAAGCATAGCCAGCATAGCCAGCATAGCAATTTGCTCAGTATTAAACACAAACTGTGAATCCGTGAATCCTTGACGCAGCACTTTCTAGTTGGCGTTCTTCCATGAAGGTGAGTTTATTCCCATTTTTGTTATTAATTATTCAAAGCTATTGTTTGTGGTCAAATTGAAAGCATACCCTTCTATCTTAATCCATTATCTACAGCCGGTTAAATGGATGCCATTCAGAAATGTTTCTTGCAAACATTTCCTTTTAGTTTTCTTTGGAATTTTATAAAAGTTAGTTTCTATGAAAAAAAAAAAAACAACTTAACAGCAACTTTTGTACAAAATTCAAGTTTTTAAGTTCTTACGATTTGGACTTTAATCATAATTTTAATAAATGTGGAATTTGTACCCATTTTCAATTACAATATTATTTTTATATATTCAATCAATCTATCGGTTGGGTAATTGAGTGATCGATCCATTTATTAATCATTCAGTTTTTAGCAAGTCATTAAATTAGCAAATCTGTCAATTAGCCAGACAATAAGTCAATGTTTCAAACAGACAATGACTAAGTCAATCAGTCAACAAATCAATCAACCAGTCAGTCAATCAGTAAATCAATCATTCACCAATTAATCAATCAGTCATTTAGCGATTCTGAGAATTAGGTAGACAATCAATCAGTATCAATCAGTCGATCACTTAGTTCAACTGTCAATCTGCCTATTTCTCTTCAATTAGGCGGTCCGTCAGCCTTTCGTGCATCAGTCATTCCATAAAACAATCAATCAGTCAATCTACCAAAATCAATAAATTTTTCAATCAATAAATCAATCTGCTAGCTCCATCTCATTCAATCAATCGATTTTCGTCCCACTTAAATACTCGTAAAGCCTGCCCGCAGCATTCAGCATTTCGTATGCGCAATTAGCCTAAAATGGAACCGCATTAAAGAATTACGCGCATAATTAAAAATTGAAATGAATTTAACCACAGCCAATAAATGCGCGCTTAATTCAGCGCACACTCAATTATATTATTTTTATATTTCCATTTACTCACGTGCTGGCCTTTTAATAGCGACTCAAATATGTTGATATTATTTATATGCATGCATTACGACTCTACCGCAATCGTGCCACGTTCCGATTGATTTTCCTTCGACCGACTGGCAATTGAAATAAAATGAAATCAAATAGATTTTTGGATAAAATGGAAAAAACTCAGCTCAGCAAGTGGAAGGGTTTTAATAAATCAGAAAAAATCCTAAATGATTAACTTTAGATTTTTGTTGTTATCCGAGAATTCGTATCAGGTAAATACTTTTATGAAAATATCAGAAAAAAAGCTAAAAATATATTATATAAAAATTAACTAAAAATATTTATGCACATATGTTTATTTAGTCTAAGAGTTTGAATAGTGGAATAAAAGTGAAAAATAAAAAATAATATGAAAAATAAAAATATAAAATCAGAAACATATAATATTTAAGTTAGATTGCACCGTATTTTTTGTTTGCAGACAACAGGGTATATTTCGGTCGAATTAAAACTATATTCTTTTCGCATTTATGTTTTATATGTAATTACTTTGTTTACCTCCTCACGAACGAGTGTTCACGATATTATTATGAATCAATATTATTCATTGACTGCACATACATATATGAAGGCAAATTAGTTTGGAATTCGAATTTGAATATTTCTTCGTCTTTTTTTCTCGTTTCTTTAATATGTATATATTTGTTTTTACAATTTGTTTTACAATTAGCGCTGGGCGCTAAATCTTTAAATATTTATATTTGATGAACTAAGTCAATAAACTTTGTGGGAGCGCAGCGCGTGTAAAATTGTTGTTCATTAAGCAGTTGGATGAATGGGGCGTGGCACATGATGGGCGTGTAATGGACACTGTTTGCTATAATTAGCAGCAGTCTCTCACTCACTCATTGCCCCCCTCTCTCTCCCTCCCACTGTCTGTCTCTCGCTCTCTTTCTCTGGTCAGCCATTAGCTTCAACGCGTTTATTGCTTAATTGCACTCAGTGTTGCCTACTTTTGTGCGTTGCTCCGTCGACCGACAGTTGCTGTGGGAATTATCTAAAATAAGTTTTTAGCTCTATTTATAGCAAAAATATAATTGATTTATTCATAAGCATATTCTGATCAGAGAACAGCCAGCAATAAGCAACGATTTTTTATTTTTATTTTTATTTTCTTATTTTAGCTCAAATTGATTGATATTTTGACAGATTTTTCTTAACTAAACACAATAATTTCCTTATTTCTTTTCTTTTAAATTAAATATTTTTTTAAAACTCTTTTACAATTTTTCACGATTTATTTTCTTCAAAATATTTTTTTATGTTTCAATTTTGATTTATACTATTTTTGTAAGTTTTTCTAAAATGTAAATTCAAATGCATTTTGGAACTTAAATTGAAAATATAAATATTTCAATTAACAAAAAATTTAGTTATTTTTTTTATCAAACTCAATTTATTTTAAATTAAACAATTATGCATAAAAAATATTAAAAATATAACTTTGAATTTTTTTTTTTAGTTATTTCTTTGACATGTTTATATGATATGGCATAAGGCATAATGATTTTTTTCTTTTTTGTGTGGAGAAGCAAAACATGGGTCATGCTTCGTCGAATATGAAGCAAAAGTTTTCGGTTCGTGGTTCTGGTAATTTAGTTTACATATTTATTTGAGAAAAGCAGGCAAAAAAAAAAAAAAACAATACGACTTTCACGCACTCACACACATACATACAAGGCCCAAACACGCACAGGCGAATACATTTGGAAACATAAGAAGAGCAAAGAAAACTCAATTTAAAGAACTCTCTTGCCACTACTTTTGTGTATGCGGCGAAAAGCTGCAAAGAAAACAGAAAACTGAAACTGAAACTGAAACAGAAACAGAAACCGAAAAGGACAATGTGAAAAATGAAAAACTTATGCGTCAGATATGCGCAGCTGATGAAGTGTGTATAACGTGTCTGAAAGTGCCTACGAAATTGCCAAGTTGAGATTCTTTCACTTAATCATGAAAAACTTCAGCTTAAGTAGGGGCTTTCCTTTTTTTATATGAATGGCTGAAGTTGCATCACACGAGATTGGATTAAGTGCTTAACAACGGTTCAATACATTTTTAAGCTATCGATAATAGATCGATATAGGTAAGGGTTATTAACATGAAATAATTTTGTGGATTTTTGTTTATTGTTAATATAAAAACCAAGTCTTACTGCTAATTCTTTTATATTAGCAGAGATATCGATAACTGCCAAAATTTGCATTGCCATCAAAGCATGTATATGTCAAAGTCATAATAATTAAAGTAAGCATTGAGAATAACAAAAACTTTGGGCTCTGGTCTAAATTATCAGGGACTGCCTTAAATGTAAATAGATAATTATTGCTAAAAAGAACCTGGTTTTTGTGAAACCAGACTGACTTCAATAATCAGCTTAAAAAGCTCTTTGTCGATATAATATATAATATATATGTATGTAAAATTTAAGCTGTTGCTTGTTAACGTTGCCTGCGGCTATCCTGACAATAAGTGCGAGCGCTGAAGAGCTTAGTTTCCAGAACTTCATATTATAGCTAAAAAATATTGTTATGTGGCTGAGCCTAAGTTCTTATTCTTAGGGACTCCCCTTCATGTTAATGGGTAGCCCTAAAAATCTTTTTTTTTAAGAGAAAAAATACGCTTATTCGATCAAGAATTTAAATAGAATTGCTGGCAGAGTGTAAGCTGCCGTTGCGAGGGACTACCCTAAATGTAAGCTGTTGCCTTTTGAAGGTAACTTTCTTTGTATTATAACGAGCTCAGCTCTGCGACGTGTTCACCTCTCGGGCATGAAATGAGGCATCTCGTGGGTGCGAGCGTTAAAGAAAGTGCGGCAAGGACTTCAATTTGTGTACGTCTGTGTGTGTGTGTGTGTGAGTGCATGTGTGCGTTTGTGTGGATTGCGGCACAGTGAGGCCAACATTTTTGTAGTTTTCTTAAATTTACTTTCGCTCGCACTGTGAAATTAATGAATAAGTAATGAGAATTCTGTGTACGCTCATCTGTGGCACAGTTAAAGATTTTATTTCACACGCTTTTTGTTGCATATATTTTGGAGCGAAGCATTTGTACCTTTTTTACATATACATATACATATATATATATATATTTATTTATATATATGTACGTCTAAATTTGAATTACAGCTCGAGCTGGTCTTTTTTTTTTCTTTTATTTTGGTATATTTATTTTTTGCGCGTGCCTTGGCAAAGTTTTGGGCTCAGTTTATGTACCAACTCGGTGGTCGAGTTTGTAGCCTTCTGACCAACAACCAACATTACCTTCACCTTTTTTTGCACGCACACACGTACACATACACATATACACTCACAGCCAACTGGCTGGCAGGAGAGGTCAGCCAAAAGCAGTTGCTTGGCTGCCAATTTAAAAATGTTGTATGTGTGTGTGCTCATGTATATATATACCAATTTTTTACTCACTCACTTACACACGCACGCACACATATGCAGGCTTAAACTTGCGGCACACTGAAATTGTAATATTCACTTTTTATGCTGAGACTGCTAAAAAAAAAAACTTGCTGCGGTCTTTTCTCACATATTTCTCTCCCCCTCTTTTTTTTTTTGATACTTTGTAGTCGTTTCTCGTGATTGAGGTCTGGACTGTTGCTAAACCCAAAATTATATTTAGCTACAACGCAAGCCAAAGACTCTAGCATTTATATAACCATTAAGTAGTTGAGAACTAGTTGCGTTAACTAACACTGAGACTAACTAATTACTGCCATAAAATGAACATCTTATAAAATGAAAAATCTTTTTGTATTCTAATGTGTTTATCATATCCCTCACAAGTTAATTGGAAATCTCGAGACATTACGTGAGGCATTGTTCCGGAAAGTGTTTCAATGCCTTCTTTGATTTTGCTTTTATCTCATCAATTGATGCAATGCCGTTGCAAGCTTCTGAGCTTTGCGTATATATTTGATAAAAAAGAAACTGGCAGGTATCTGGTTAAGACACGGTTACAGACTTGTCAAACCTATGCAGCTCATTTGGCATTTACGTCAATAAGATTTGAAAGCCAAAATGCTTTACGCTTCTATATGCATATATATGCATATACGATTTTTAATCTATTCTATACTGAATACTAATCTATGTATAATATATGTATATATAATTCATTTGAATAAACCAATAAAAACATTTGGGCATTAAGTTTTCATGACGCAGCTAAGTGAAAGGACTTTGAAAAATTATATTTCCTCAGCTGGTTTATAAAATATCAATAAAGATATTCTATTATATATTTACCTGTTATTTGATTTGCCTGAAAACATGTTAATAAAGACAAAAAGATGCTAATCATTAGCTAAATGTTTGCACAAAGAAATCAGACTTCTTTCAAATAATATTGCAATGATTATAAAATTTTGGCATTGCTAATGAGGTCGTCAAAGCAAACAAGTTTGAGCGATAACAGAGCTAAACACTATAAATTGCGTGGATGTCGAAGCTTATGGTCAAAACGTTACCGACTGTCAAGATGAAAGCTGCGTGTCTAACGATTTGTTTGCTGGCTGCTGTGCTCACAGCAGAGGTCCATGGGGCTATATATAGTGGGCACTTCAAAAGCGATGGTACGACGTATATATATGATATATATTATAAAATATAAATGTAAATTTCTAAAGCTCATCCGGGCAAGTGTGTGATCGATGACAAAACCATACTTGATGAGGGTCAGAAAATAAATAGGAATTGTGTGAATATCGAATGCTTCAGTGGTGGTGATGCCACATTCGCCAGGTGAGAGAGCTTAACTATTCCGATATATAACCTATATTAATATGTGTATTGAATGCCTGCAGCTGTGGTGCCAAAGGTATACCTGATAACTGCAAATTGGGCGCTAAGAAATATCCAGATGCTGAATATCCCAAGTGCTGCATCGATGTGATCCATTGTCCCGATGGCGATAGAGAATTTTAGTGAGCTAAAATATATTTCTTTTCCCCCATACGCCTACTTGGGGTGTGGCATATTGAAAAGCCTTTATACTTTCCAACAGACAGCCCAACTTCAAATCTATTTATATATATTAGATCACTTAGGCCCTTGGCGGCGTGATCAATCAGGCAAAACTGTATCATCCACAGTTTTATTTTTTCAGTTTTTTTCATGCAAGATCCTTTGTTTCTTAATTGACTGCCTTATAAAAAAATAAATATGCATATTTACATACCAATTAAAAAGTAAACCTAATGAACGTTTGGCGTGTTATAGGGGAAATCAAGCATAAGGAACATTTATCAAAACGTAGTCAAATCGTAATAATTAACGATGTGGTTTCTGCTATTTACCTGTTTACTAAAACCAAGTGAAGGTTATGAACATACATATATATATATGGTTTAACTAATTACATATGTATTTAGTTAAGTATACACCTAATGCAAACACACATAAGGAAATACGGCACCAGGTTCAATTAGTTGCAGTTGAATGCACTCAACACAGTCATCAAATCAATTAGAATTTGTGGCTTAAGTTAAATACCGTGTGTGTGGGTGTGCGTATATTTGTGTTTGTGTATGCGTATGTGTGGGCTGTAAATGTGCCTGCTCTTTACTATTAAAGTTTCAAATAATAATGTTTTCATTCTTTGCTTTATTCCTTCATTTTTATTCATTCATTTCCTTTTTATAAAATTAAGAAAAATTAAAAAAAAAAAAAAAAAAAAAAACAAATTAAATATATTCAGATGCGAATATCTAAAGTTAAAAACTCGTAAGAATGCTCTACATGGGAGTGCTCTTATAGTCGATACCCTACCACCTGAAATAGCAGTTCTATGCTATTTATATCACGTCATACGACCTTACTTATATATATTTTTTTCGCTAATTTTTACACCAAATACACATTCCTCAAATAAAGCCCATCAACTTTTGCAGATGGTTTCTTGAACCCAAATAAAAAAGGCAAATTTAAGAAACAAACTTTTTTTTATTAATACAATTTTTATTTTTGTTAGCTAAATACATTTTAAAAGCAAATTAAACTTTGCCTACGAATTTCGTTGTATTTTTTGTAACATTAAATATTTATAATATATATGATTATTTTTATTACAGCATAAACATTTCTTAATTTTGAAGCAACTAAAAAAATCATTTGATCTACAGTGATTAAAATTTACAATAAATCAAATATATTGAAATATAAACACAAAAATAAATTAAAACATTTTTTCAGCTGTGTGATAGTATAATATGAATTATTTTTGACGCAGGATTTCGACGACTGAGCTGCTGAAAATTCAAATTTTAACATTAACAAAACATGTAACAATAGAAGCATTAAATTCGTATAAATTATTTATGCACTAAATAATCAATATGCAAGAGGACTTATTGTTACAGCATAAATTCTACATAAATGTATATTAATTAAGAATTTCGTTGGGGGAAAATCTATTTTGCTGTTGGTATTGATTTCGGGCAGTGACCTTTAATTGAATTGGAGCTAAAAGCGGCTGTCAAATAATATGCAAAATGAGGTCGAAAATATAGATATGGATGTGGAAATGAAGTGAAACGGTTGAAGGCAGTGCGAAACATTTAACGTGGCGCTCGAGCTTAATTTGGTCAACCAACATGCTAACCACCCTCAGCCACCCTCAACCACACACGCACACACACACCCACAGCAGGCAATTAGTGTTGTGGGTGCGGTTTCAGTTTCAGTTTCAGCTCCACTGCTCTTATCTTTCCGTTCGCAATTGTTGTTGTTGTTGTTGACACAGCTTTTCGCTTATTGTTGTTGATAGCATCGACGGCTCGAGGAGAGAGTATGTGTGAGAGAGAGAGACAGCGAGAGATAGAGAGAGAGGATAGCAGCGTACAGCCATGCGACCCATGTGGACACACAAATCGTGCCAGTCATAACGCTAACCGCTCAATAAATTTGTTTGCTTGCCAAAAGTATGTTACGAAAATAGCTGGGCGCCCATTTGCCCCAGTAACAAACGGACCAGGGTCAAGCTAGCGCCCCAAGCTCGTAAGAAATGTTTTAACAGCCAGCCGGAGCAGTCGACCAGCCAAATTAATAGACTGCCATAAACTGAGCATAAAGCTTCGTAATAAACTTACCGACTTGCCGAGCGCTTTGCAGCCATAAAGTAAGTCGCCATAGGTATGACTTACTAACTAGCTATACATATATAGTATATGTATCTTTATATGTGCCAACTTCTCAATTTATGATGCTAGTTTTATGTCCTCCATGTTCAGTTGATGTGCGCAAAAGCCAAAAATTTGATTTAAATCAAAAAGGCAAGCAACAGTATTTTATGAAATTTCTATTTTCGGCTGAACGTTTTTTTACTTCGTATCCTCCAGGTTGAGTTTATGTGCTTAAAGGGCATACGGCTTAAGGGCATTAAAAATATTTCTGGCATTTTTAGTCTCTATTTTTAGTTATTTGGACACAAAGACAGACGCCGTTAGTCTGCTATCATTTTTTGTTCTCCTTTTATTTTTACTGCTATAATTAAATAAATTGTTTGTATATGGAAAATCCATTTGAGAAGTGAAAATATTGCATCTCTTAGAGCTCTCTCTCAATGCTATAAGTGCGCAACAATAGTTGCAATTGTTCACTTTTACATCTTTATATATCAAATCTGAGTATTGGAATTAATTAAAATTTGTATGCCTGTTTTTAGGCCTTAAATTAAATACATATGTAATATATTGTATAGCTTCTACACAGGAGGTAAAAATGTACATTGGTTAAGTGCAATTTCCGGTTGCTGTCCTTATGCTCTCATTATCGAGAAAGAAATGAGTACATGGGTCTTGAAATTTCTATACCTTCAAATTATAAAGTGTTAAGATTTTTTCAATCCGCCTAATCAGAAAAAAAATGTATATCAGCCATTGTAATTTTAATACTAGAAAGTTGATTTTTTTGTTTTTTCGCGTTGTCAACACAAGTTAAATAATATACGGCGGACATTAGGGGCGTGGAAAATCGGGTAATGCAGTATCTCCTACAGTTTTAGAGCTAGCAACTCAACATTAATGTTAACTTGCTTTATTATGACTTACACAAAAATAAAATTTACACACCGATTGGGAAGGTGGTAAATATAGAAAAAATATGGAAAAAATTTAGAAAAATATAGAAATAGAGCTGGCAATTTTTGAGCCGTGAATGAGTATTCTGCAGTCGGCAACGCCCGACTGAAACGTCTTATGTGCTTTTGCTTGTATTATTTCTATAATTAAAACTATAGCTTACCTGCAATTATTTTGTAATTAATACATGCTAAATTCATATAGGCAGACATTAATTATTAATTAATAATTTAAATTGATGAGCAGTTTTAAACTAAAGAAAACGATGATATTCTCACTATGAAGTTCATGTCATTCATAGTAATATGCAACAACTTGTGTGTCTTCTCAAATATCTGCTCTTATGAATTGCTGTTGTCTGCAGCAATGTGTATATTTATGGTAAAGATGACTGTGTAAAATCGTCGGACGTTTTCGTATTTGCTTTTTGTTTTTGTTTTTGTTTTCGTTTTTGTTTATTTTATTTTTAGATGCTCGACATGTGCTTTGCTGTGCAGTCTCTAGAAGAACAAGCACACAGAATATTGTTTAGTTATAGATATGTAGGCAAAAGCCTTTATTAAGTATTTTAGCTTTACTTGGCTTTAATCAATTCACGTTCACAGCATTTGGGGTAATCGGCATTGGGATTCTTCACATTGCCAAACTGAAAGCCTGGTGGGGGGACCTCAACGCCGCAGCTGTAAAATGTATTACTATTATTATTATTATTTTTATTATTAATTTTCATTTGACTTACGTGTGAATTTCGGCCCAGCTTTCGCTGCCACATATAATACGAGCACAGTCCATTTCGGGATATTTGGCTTGTTCGCCCGAGCTCAAGATGAGATTTTCCGACACATAACACTTGCCGGGATACTTCTCATTCGCGAAGAGGCCACGTAACACAGCGGCTTCAGTGGGCGGCGTCAGGAACAGCGCCGCAGTCAGCAGCAACGTCAACAGAATTCCGCTCACGAAATGATACATCTTGCCGTTTCGCACTCAGAAATCGAACTGATTCAGCTGGTAGAATCGAGACGAATGACAGCCGGCATCGCCTCACTCATATTGTGAGGGTCAAACAGGTTTCAGATGGCGTCACTTTACCATAGTGGGTGTGATTATTTAATAAAGTGGAAAATACTAATTAGTGGTTTATGCTTGATAAATGTGAAATGAATAATGCAGTGAGAAGTTTATGTGAATAACTTACGATATTCTTATATACAAGAATATACGCTTTATTAGCAGCTAAAGGAGAGCTAAATAAAAATTTAAAAAAAAAAAAAAATTCAACAGTATTTACTTTTATTTAAAACTTGTTTTCTAATCTTTTACTTAAAAATATGTTGGTAATTATTTATCATTATTAGTTGTGTATTATTTTAATTTTAATATATATATTTTTAAAATATGGATAATTTTATTTTTATTTTTTGTAATAAAATAAACTTTTGATTTTTTTTGTCTTTTTTATTTTTATTTGATATACAAAGAGATATTTATTACTTAAAAATATGATAATTATTATTCATAATTATTTGTTTAAATATGATAGTTATTATTCATCATCATCATCATCAATAAATATTTTTAAAAATATGATTGACTATCATGAATCTTTAACTATTTAGTTTTTATAACTTTATGATAAATATATACTTCATTTAGAGATATAAAATTATTTTCCATAATTTTCCCTTGGTTTTTCTAAAATTAAGATTGTTTGTATTATTTTATAAAATATTGATTTTCTCTTAAATATTTCAAAATTTTTTATTATATAATATATTTATTTTACATATTTTATAATTTTTTTATTCCACTATGTTTAATTTATAAACACTGTGTTTAATTAATTTTCAAACATTTGGAATTTCCTTATCTGTGTTTATGACATAAATATGATTACAAACCACATTGCTGCTCAACTCAAGCTCTAAACTGTATTAAACTTTATCACTTATTAAATTTAGCTTGCAACGAATCGTTAAATGCAAACAAAAGACCGGAACAGATTGATAAGCGAACAATTTCAACCACACACCATGTTACGCTTGCAGCAGTCGGGGTAGTCCGCCTCCCAGTCCTTGAAACTTGTGTAGCGACAGTTGAGATCTGGACGCATGAAATCGCAGCTGACAGAGCGTAGGAATTAGACAGTTCAAATATATATTTATATAATATATATTTTGATTATTCTTTAGTACATACGTTTCTAGCATGCCCCAGCCATCTCCTATGCAAAAGATCTGTGTGCAGGGCAGCGAATCTAGCTTAACAGACTCCCCAAATTTTAGCAGCACTACGGATGTGCCCATATCCACAACACAACGATCGGGGTACACTATGAGAGGTGTGAAGAATAATATGGAAATAGATGAGGATAAAATGATATGCATATAACATGAGAGTTTTTCGAGGGAGAGAGAGGATAGAATGATAGATAGAATGATATCCAATTGGACTTGAACAGAGTCAAATGAATAGAAGAGATTTTTATTTAACATATCAATCGAGTTTATTATAACTAGAGCATAATAAACTAGTCAAAGTGCTCACCGCTATTTCCATAGTTGTTTAGTGCATTCAAGGCCAAGGTCTGAGTAATGCACTGGAGAAAGATAAGAATGAGTACGGCCTTGACAAGATACATTATTTTGTTTATTGAATATGTAGATGAAACTATATATAATATATATTGGGATACAACTAAAATTTACTGCACAGTTTGCTTAAATGTCGTTTATGAAAATTTCAGTATTACAAATGATTTTACGTTCACAGCAATGCGGATAGGGTTGATCGATGTCGATATAGTTCCCTAATCGACAATGGGGTGGTAATCCAATGACACCACAGCTGCATAAATATAGGTTTTACTGAAGATCAGCTAGCAAATCGAAACTGTAGCCTTACCTTTGGAATATTGCCGTGCCATTGAAGCCGCAGGTAATCCGCCGGCATTCCCCACTGGGATCCTTGATACTAACGCCCTCTTCGATTATTAGGGACGGTTCAATGACGCACTTACCTGGATGTTCTGCATTTAATATGGATATTACTAGCAGATATGCCTTTGCATGTCTATATATATGTACCCACTCTTATCCCGGAATATGCCCACCCATTCAGCAGATTCCACTCTGTGTGTAAAACATGCGACAAATAGAAAGAATATTATTATTTGAACATTCATTTTTTATTAATGTTATTAAATTTATTATTATTATTTTTATTTATTTTTATTATAATGTTTGCAACTATTTTACAATCGATAAATTTATATGTATTAATTTTGATAAGAAATAGTTTGGAGAATATAAAATACTCAAATAATTTTCCCATTTCGAAAGTGTCAGTCGTTTGATAATCAAATAACTGCACTCTAGATTTGGTTAATGAGAGTTGGCTGCAAGCTAAGATAGATTAAATAGATTTGGTGAATATGGAACTAAAGAGAGATTGGGATGATAAATGGAAATCTAAAAACGAATCAGTCAATTAGACTCAGTTTCTCAGAATATGGTATAAGTGAAAAGCAGTTTCATGTGGTGATTGGGATGATAAATGGATATCTAGAAACGAATCAGTCAATTAGACTCAGTTTCTCAGAATATGGTATAAGTGAAAAGCAGTTTCATGAGCTGAGCACATATTCTTTGAGAGCCAAATATGTTGCATAGAGTGGGGCTTACAGACGAGCACGTAACTTAAATGTTATGTGCAATCGGGAAATTGATTTTTTTTGGATGAGTTCCAATAAGATTCCGCAGCAAATAAATGCTAAAGAGACAATTTAATTTTACATTAATTCTCTTGTTTCTGGTAGTCCAAAGTCCTCCTAGATTTTTAAAATCCCAATTCCCAATTCGAGTTTCCTTTTATGGCGAAAATAGGTTTAGTACAACAATTTTTGTATTTTTATTAATTTTAACCAACGACATAGAATTTTTTCTTTTTTTTTTTCTCAAAACAATCTGAAACTGAGCCAAAATAGAAAACAAGATTTAATAATTAGAATCGATTGAATTGCAGTCAACATGGCGTGCACAGCAGTCCGGATAGGGAGCATTTATATCAAAGTAATCACCAAATACGCAGTCCGTGGGCGGATACTCCTTGGGGCAACTGTGCGGCATTAAAAATTACAATAACTAGATTATGGTGAATTGTATAAATGTAGAGGATACTAACGTATAGATCAGGGCCCAACCGTTGCGACCACAATAGACCTCGGCGCATTTGCCAGGATAACGGATAGTCTCATCGCTGTTGATCACAACGAGCTTGCCATTTGGTGAGTGAATAACGCACTTGCCGGGATATTCTGAAAGACATATGCAAATATATTTAATATATATGTATATGTGTTTAACTAATGTCTGGACTAACCCTCATGCTTGAGTATGGCATGATGTGCTTCCGGTTCAGCGGCGTATGCGCTATGCAGCATCAAAGCCAGAGCCAGAATCGAGAGGGCAATCAACGACGACGACATTTTCTGAGTTTTGTTGCTTCCCTTTTTTGATTTTTGTGTGTGTGTGTGTGTGTGTATTTCGAATTGAGAGTGAGCGAAATGGGTGTCTGTGTGTAATTCAGGAAATTTTACTTGGGAGATTCAATTTACTTGTTGTTGTTGTGCATTAACGAAGTGTGTGTGCGTCTGTGTGTCTGTGTGTGTGTGATAAAATTTGTATAGCCTGCTCCGATGCCTGATGCCTGATGCCTGGTGCCTGCTGTCGATTTAGTATGCACATTTTAATTAAAAGCATCAGCAGCTATTGCCGCAGATACATTTATAGATGCAGATGCACAGCTATAGATACATAGATACATTTATCGAATATGTTAATCCCGTTATGTGCAGTGGGTGTGTGCACAGATGTTGTCGTTGTCGTTGTCGTTGACGTTGCCTTTGCATAATTCGATTAAGCAACGTTGACGCCCCCAGTTGCCCCTCGCCCCGCGCACTCTCTCGCTCTCTCCTTTCACTTGACAGCGCCCTCAATGCAAATATTTGTGTGCATGTGTGTGTGTGTGTGTTTTGGATTTTGATTGCTGCTGTTGGCCCGACCTCAGCGCTTCGCTCTCTCACTGTCAGCAATTATTTAGCTACCCAAATGTAGACAAATTAGTGGCCATATAATTGATGCAATTGTGTGTGTATGTATGTGTGTGTGTGTGTTTGTGTGTGTTGCTATTGAGTATTTAGCTGTGTTGAGCCAAGTAAATGTAAATCCATTGCTGATGTTTTTGTTTTAGCTGCCAATGTTGCTGCCCTTGCCCCTCTTTATCTGTCCCTGTCTCTCTCTCTCTCTCTCTCTCTCTCTCCCAGTCACTGCTTTGCCTTGTTTCTCTGGTCTCTTGGAACTTGATTACATTTGGCCATGCTGGCAATTAGGCAGGCGGCCTTCATTGTTTGCCAGCTGAAATTAATTGAATCGAGTGGCCTCAGCTGAGATTCAAATATGCAATTCCCCATTTTCAAGATGGGCAAACGCTTCTTTTTTCCTCTTCTTCGCTCTAGCCACATTGTTTCACACTATTTGCTTGAAACAAATGGTACTTTCATTAACAAAGGAAATAACACAAGGAAATTAGGAAAAAACACAGCTAGGTGTATGTGCGGGAATCTCACATAGTTAAGCAAAATATGTACATACATATATGTATTTTATTTTTTAATATTATCGAAAACAATTTTATATACATTATATGAAATATTCGTATGTGTATAACAGTGTAAAAAGCGAGTAACAAAATTGTGTAAAAAAATACAGGAAATTAAAAATACAAAAGAAAAGAATAAAAATAAAAAATAAAAAATAAAAATAACTAAAAAATACTTTACTAACTAAATGCACTGTATTAATATTCTAAAATATTTATATATACATACTATATATTAGTAATATATTTTTTTAATTGGAATGCCTCAATCAAGTTAATAAAAATTGTATGAGAAACCTATAAAAATCTCATATTAAGAATTTTTGTCTATATTTCATTACTTCATAAAAATTTCACCTCAATCGAATTCAATCAATATAA